ACAAGGCTTTCTACTAGGACTGGGACATAAAAGGCGATTAGGATTTTTTACCTGAGAACCCCAAAAGGTTTTTACCATTGACCCAGTTACAGGAGGTTTGGTAATGATGGGCAGGCTAAGGGTTCCAGGAATCTGCCTAAAAATAAGGGCCTGAAAGCTTAGCAACGAATCATTAGAAAGTTTTATCATTTATATAACATTTGTTTGTTTCTTGTTTGTCTTATCTGCTGTCTGTAGTTTGTGAATTGTGTAATGTCTTTTGTCCATTTGTGAAATGATAAATTAGCTATTTTTGTCTTGGGGAAAATGGAGGTGAACAAACGGTTGAGGTCGAACTGTAAAACAGCCAGTTTCTAGTTTCCGTGGCTCATTCTTTCCCCTAATCTCTTTTCAAAGCAAAGCAGGGAGTTAAATGTGTTAAAAGTTAATGGACAGTTGTTGAAGTTAGGAATTAGTGGGATTTACATAAGGTTTGGAGTTTAATGAAACAGATTAAACAAATAACAGATTTTGTTTGTTTGACAATAATTGTCTATTTCTCCAAATAAGCAAGGAACTGTGTCATTATTTATATGCTAAGTTTATTTTGTTAATCGTAATTCTTTAAGGTTTAGATTTAACTTTTCAAGGGAGAATAAATCTATATGTGTTTAGAGCGAAATAACTTGTTTGATAAATAAATTAGGCTGATTGAATTTGCTTTTAAATTACTGAAAATTCATTGAGAAATAAATGTATCTTAAGCTGATCTAGAATAAATATGCAAATGTATTTAAAATAATTATATGTTAATACTTGTACAATGTTCCAATTACTCAATTGTAAATAATATAATTCAATAATAATAATAATAATAATAATGATAATAATAACATTAATAATAATGATTAAAATGACAGAGAATATAGATAACATGATTTAGTTCCTACATTAAGATGCATTGTGGAGGCTTTAAAGGTAACAATTCTTTATGAATCCGTAGCTTCGACATATCTCGAGGTTAAATTGACTGAAATTTTATGTTGCTGTTTCTTCAACAGAACATATGTTAATTGCTCTGATGAAGAAAAAGGGGGGAGAAGAATATAAAACAACAAACCTAAACTAATGTGGATCCATATAGGTGCTGTTTATTTTTCCACCTGGAACAGTCCATGTGGAATTTGGGTTGGTAATTGAGAGCAGAATAAATAAACAACCTAAATAAAATACTAAATGATGACAGTAAAGTGAATAAATATGGGAATAAAATGCCTTTCTAAAGAGGACAGCAGAGGACAGAAACACCTGCTGGATAAAATTTGAACACCTAGGCCTGATTTGTCTGATGTGCGTTCGGAAAATCCAGGGTTGTTGATGTTTGTTGATGGTTCAGCCTCTTGCACCCCTGGTTCGGTATTTGTTCCCTTCATGAAACTCTAGTTTCTGGTTCTTTGCCAAAGATATAAAAAATAAACTGCCAACTGAGTTAAATCCATCGATCTCCGTTTATTTAACTAGGGTGAATACTTGAATACTTTTTTCACGCCAAAAATGCCTGTTAACAAAGATCCAATTTCAGATTCGTACCATATGGATTCAATCATTGCTTTATTTGGGGAGAGCTGATTGGAAGAACATGTATTCTCAATATGTGGTAGGTGGACTGTTTATTATCCTGGTTTAACTGGTTGCCTTCTTTTGGGTTTGAGATTTATTTTTTGTAAGGTTCGTTAGCTTTCAGTTGATATTGGCTTGAAATATTTTTTTAATTGCTTTATCATTTAATTTTATCATTTGTCTAAAATTATTTTTCATTCATTTTAGTTGATTTACCATTTTTACAGATTAACCTTCCTCATTTACAGCAGCCAAAAAAACCATATTTTATTTTAGAGAAGCTTTCATCCCTAAATAGACCATATTTAAACTTAATTGAGAGGATCTGCAGAATTTGCCATTTTCAGCTCTAAAAACAGGAAGTTTTTATTTTTGTTTAAAATATTTAGCAACTCCATTATTTAATAAATTGAAACTGATAAGATGAAACACATACTTTCTTAATATCAGTCTGAATTAGAAAGGAATGCAGTTTTTTATTCATCTTTTATTTATTTAGTGATTTATGTGTTTTTTTGTTTCTCTCAGAGGTAATTTCCTCCATAAAACAATTTATAGACTTGACTAGTTTGTTTTTGACATCAATCTGAAATTCAAAAAAAAAGGACTCAAACTCAAAAGCAGGGGTGTCAAAGTCGTTCCAGAAAGGGCCGTGTGGCTGCTGGTTTTCTTTCCACCCAAGCAGTATAGCACACCTGCTTGGGTGGAAAGAAAACCAGCAGCCACACGGCCCTTTCTGGAACGACTTTGACACCTGTGCTCAAAAGTATCAATAATATTTTTTTCTGTTAAATTACCAGTTAAGCTGTGAGTTACTGAAGGAAAATGAGTTTGTGGAAAATCCAGATAGGATTTAAATGTCAAGAGTTTGGTAAATCCTTACTGACTCCACAGACAGTGTTTCTTGTTTGGTACATTATAAAATAGTCAGAAAATTTTCCAACTGTTCTTCTCTAAAGCCTAAAATAAAATTTAAACCCTTCCTGCTGACTTAATCCAAACAGGAAACCTGCAAGTGATGGGTTCATTTATTTACCTGAGCTGTGACTGAAGCCTCCAGCCAGCAGAAAGCAGCACTTCTGGGATCTGGACCCGTTTCAAGGAAAACTGAGACTGACTGAGAAAGAGGAAGTAATACCTGACAAAGTGGGTGTGGGAATGAGTTTTACTGATGAAGAATAACTATAAGAATATCCACCAATCTGATTTCAGCAGTTTTCTTCATTACACAGTTTATTTCCCCCAAAACACATTTCTATACAACATTTACAGCTTTAAAAACCACCAAGTATATAATACAGTCTCTGCTGCTGACTGAAACCAGTTGGAAGCTCTGGATCTGGAACTTCCTCCACCTGAAAGCTGAACCTGATATGTCAGCCTCCATAACCCAGAGAGGTCACATAAACTCTAGGACTCCTTGGTGCTGCTCTGTCGGCTGATCTTCCCCAGATCTCCGAACGACACCGTGGCTGATCCTCGCTTCGCTGGTTTGGCCTGGACCAAAAAAAAAAAAAATATCAGAAACTCCCTATTATTTCTTTACTTTACTTATTTATGGGATTTCGAATTGTTCAGAGAATCTGTCCAAGCCTAAATGTGCTGTTTGGTTTGTCTAGCTGGGTTCATTAAATCAGGCATCCATTTTCATTTCTAATGTTTCCAAAACATTAAAAAAAGACGATTGAACCTCAGCAAACAGAGAGCCATAAAGCGTCACAACTTATTAGCTCCCACTGTGGAAGGGGCGGGGTTTATTTTAACTGCTGCTAATTGGCTAAAGCTTCAGAGAAAGCAAACTGGAGTGTTACACTTTAAGGGAAATGTTCTCACCTGAGACTCGTGAGGCTTCCAGCCAATCATGTAGAGAATCTCGAAGGTGGCAGGAACAGAACCGTCCTCGTTTCCGTACATCTCTGAAACAATCCAAACAGGCCCGGGATCAAACCTCTGCTCCTCCATCTGACTATCAGTTTTACAAGTGTGATTCAGAAAAGTGACTTGTATCCAGTAATGCTGCATTTGATTGAGCTGCTCATAGAAATCCCTTTGACAGGCTTGAACTTATAATAATAATAAAAAAATAAAAAAATCATATTTCCCTTATTTTAGCTTTCTCCCATTGGCTTCCCTCTAGATCCGGAAGTTAATTAAAAGTTGTCTTTCTCAGATTGGTTATGCAATAAGCCATTACTTTGATTTTTGACATTTGGGATCACTTTTTTCCATACTGGACTTCATTGCAAATCTAAGCTTTGCATAAGACTGCCATATCACAGGGAGATTGGTCTAAATAAATAAAAAGCTTAAAAGCTAGTTTAAAATTTTCAAGTAAAGTTTTCAAACAAATAAATATTTTATATTATTGCATTTTATTGATTATGGTTTTTCACCATTTTTATCTATTGTATTATTTGTACATAGAAGCTAATAAGTTCAGTTGAGTTTTACTAGTTAGTCAAGACTTTTTGACATAAATGTTTGACTTGGAATTTAATTATTTTTGTTGATGAATTTGTGAATTTATTCCATGTGTGTGCAGAATTAACTGAACACAATTTGATTAAATAACATAAGCTCCATCAAACTTTACTCCCAGACTGCAGGTTCACTGCTTGTTCTAAAGGCAGAAAGAGAGGCTAAGTGGAATCAGCTCCCAGTTTTAGTTGAATCAAACGCTCTGTGTCCTGTTATGACAAGAATTAAACGTTTTTGACTTTGTCTATAAAGTTTTTTTTTATCCCCTTTCAGCATATTTCCTCTATCCTGACTGCTCATCTAAAGGTGGTGCATTGCATGACAGCAGACAAAGAAACAGGCGATGACACACTATCGGGTGATGTGAGGTGTCGGTGATTAATGCTGAACAGCAAACAGATGCTGCTGTTAGTGGAAAACAGAGCAATAAATACAATCAGACCTCTGGGTTGATCTAAATTCCGTTTAACTGATAATAAAGGCTACCTGCAGGTCAGAATACGGTTACATAAATCATGTGATCAAACGACAACGCCTCTGTTGCTGGCTTTCTCTCTTTAGTCTCTAAGTTTTTCTCTCCTCATATTCATCCTTGTTATGGTGCGGGAGGGAGGACGATCAACAGATTTATTTTTTAAAGCCACCTAAAGACCTCTTGAGAGAATTCCTTCTTCCTAACCTGTTTAACATTATTTTATCTGTATTCCATTTTGAGTGAAAAAAGCGTCGCTTACAACCAATCCCTGATTGGCTGCCATATCGCCATTGCAAAAAACATCGCCGAACACCGCTCCCCTCTCTCCATGCGGTGCTGCTACTTACCAACACTGCAGCTCTATCTAGTAGCACGAGGTGAGAGCAGCGCAGTGAAAGCTCTCACCTCTGGTCGCTTCACTGCCCTTCAATGCTCGGTTTGTATAGGAATTCTATGCCGTTGCCATCTAAGACCATTGCCATCGCCTCTGGTCTGAATGCACCATTAGAATGTTTCTGATGGGATTTTTTTCTTTCTGTTTTTGTCCCAGACTGTTTGTCACTTCTGAGTTGTTTAAAGTGAACTTAGAGGGAGAAGAGATGCCACACAGTTGCAGGACATGGAAATGATCTCTACTGTTTTTAGTTCTCCTGTCACTGAAACGATGCCTCTGCGTCTACAGAACATGCAGTGAAGTGCAGTAGAATTGCAACATGCAATGTCCCTCAATCTGACGCATGTTTGTGTTTCCAGCTCCCTTTTCAACCACTCACCTTTATAAATGGCTGCAGCTGCTAACATAGTATCTCTGTGCAGCATCGACCTCCTGTTCCATGCACAGTTACTTTCTCCCATACCTGCAAGGAGCAGCGTTTTAAGAGTTCTGTTAACATCTCAAGCTCTTTCAGTTAATGTTCTATTTTTCTGCAGACATGAAGTTCTTAGTAGCCTTAATCAGTGTTTTGGATGTTTTCTGAGATCTTTTGGATTTTACTTTTCGTTTCCGAGCAATTTGTACCTTGAAGATCAGTCATGACCTCCATGATGCCTGGGTAATGCACCTGAACATCATCAATGTCCTGAAAAATAAGAAGAAAATGTTGCACATGTCAGACACAATATCCATTCCTAGGTAGCCCGGTTCTGCTTCTGCCAGAGATTTTTACATGTTAAAATTTAGTTGTTCCTTTCCACAATTGCCATATGCTTGCTCAGGAGGCAGGCCTGCTACACAGCTAAGGACCTGATGCAATCAGCTTGGTTCCCTTGAATACATTCTGACCAGTTGGTTTCATATAATCAGCTCATTTGGACAGAATATTTAACAAGAACAAACTAAAGGCCCACATCTCCAAAGATTTGGGATATAGTAGGATTTGTTTTCCTTTCTGCTGATTGTATTGAGTAACATAACATCTAAAGTTTTTAGAGCTTTAGAGTTCTGTGGTTCCTCTAATGCACAGTGGGTGAACTTCTGGGTTAAACAGTCTACTAATGGTGTAAGAAAGGCTGTGTTTGCTTAGTCCTGGTTTGGGTCTGACAGAAAACTAAACATCTTAAGATGTTCTCACCACAGTCAGCATATTGAAGCCAGCCTGGCCCAGCAGGTTCCCCAGGTCTGTGACGGCGGTGTAGGGCGACACATGGGGGGAGAAACCTCCCTCCCTCTCCGTCTCAGCCAGCTGGAGAGAACAGCGCAGCTCGTACAGCGTCTCCCCGCCCACCATCGCCCCGATGAAAACCCCGTCTGGCTTCAGAACCTGGTGGATCTAAGAGGAAGAGGCAGGATGAGGCAAGAGCTTGTTCCTGATCCCAGCAGAACACAGAATCACTCATTGCACCTGTCTGAGGGCTCCAGGAAGGTCGTTGATCCAGTGAAGGCTGAGAGGACAGAACAAAACATGATTTCTGGAAAGTTCCTTTAGAAAAAATAAGATTCCAGCTTAAAACAAGTTTGATTCAGTTTATCTTGATCTGAAAAATAGTCTGACAAAAACTATGTGGCCTGAAGTAGATGACCATTTGAAATTGGATACATTTCTCGGGACCCTGATACTGATTATCCAGCTGGATTCAGTGAAGGAAACCAAGAGAACTGTAAATCAGCCAACCATTGGTCTAATTTCTGAATTGGTTCCCTGAGAATTCATGCTTTCCTAGTGAGCAGGCCGATTAAAAATATGCTATACCTGAACATTCTAAAGCCTGATTTAATGTAATAAAATAAATGGAAGAGAGTGAGCTCCCTCCGGTGGCAGGCACCAGTAGAGGCCTCAGATAGAACCAGAGTGACTCACGTCAAGCTACTCAGCACCAAGTCGAAAGTGTTCTCCTTAAACGGCAGAAACTCCTCATCAGCAAGGATGCACTGAGTGGGAATCTCACTCGGCCTGCGATGTTTCTGAAACACATCAGTTGTGATCACGGCAGGTGGAAGCGGCGCCTCATATATGTATTGGTTTCACTGGACTGGGGTCAGAACTCACCAGGGTGTGCTGGGAGATGTCTGTCAGGAACAAACGCTCCACCACATCCTGTAACATCAGACTGGACATATTAAGCAGGACTCTCATCAAAGGTATCTCCTCATCCTCCATGTTGGGAGCTTTTCCTTATACGCTAGTTTACATTTCAGGGCAGGAATTTCAAGCTTGAAGAAAAGTGAATGCATCATCACCTTGTTCAGATGGTCTGCAATGTGACTTTTTCCTCCTCCAATGTCCAGAGCCAGAGGGAATGTCCTGAGGAGATAAACACAGATTAGATCCATGGATTCTCTATCTGCTGCAGGAATAAAGGGACAGAGATGGGGACATGGCAGCAAATGCTTTGAATTAGATTCGGTTTCCCATTTCAGTTTGGGCATCTGGCAGAGTCTGAAGCACAAGAAAAACTGCATAACCACGTGCTGTTCTACTTTCTACCTGAGCATCCTTATTTCAGAACAACAGTTTCAGATAAAAATGGTTGTTTGCAGGTATCTGCTTAAAAAACAACAAAAACCTGCTGTAGCAGGTCCAGAAAAGATCTACAAAGAATGTCAGGTCCCACTCCAATCTCTGATTTTAGTTCTGTTATTCATAATTTTATCCCAGTGGGAAAAACTGGCCTGAGACCAAGTAGTCCAGATTTAACTGGACTCTTGAACTTTTAACTAATAAATCCAAACTCGGGGTTGATGGCATCTCTCAGCGTGATTCAGTTATGATTCCAACCTGAACAAATGATACTCCTAAAGTGGGGCAGACTGACCCGAACAGGAAGCAGAAGGATCCTCTCAACATCAACAACAGGTGGAGATGGTTGATGACCTCCAAATAAAATAGTTCCTTAACAGGATGTCTGGTCAGGCCCTGCCATAAACCCTCATTATCTATGTTTTAATAATCTGCAGCACCATTTCCATCTGTTTATATATTCATGGAATCATCTCCTGTTCTGATTTTTCATTTATTGGTTGGTCATCCGTCTCTTGAATCATCTAATCTGTTTGGGTCTGAATTCCTCCTTAAAAACTGTGTGAATGAATCCAGATTGACTGAAACTTTAACTTAAAGTAACAGCTCTCTGTACAGTTTGTTTGGACCTGGACCAGAACCTTACCTGGTGATATCGTAAACCCGATCAGCGACTCGACTCCCGACCTGAAAAACACACAAGATCCAAGTTCAACAGGAAGAAGTGTTGGATGCTAGACTGTTCTACCAATCCGGACAGTTCCTCCTGGAGGACATGGAGCAGTTGCCACCAGAGGAGTCCTCTGCCTGCTGCTGATTCCACTGATTTCACTTTAAAAGCAAGAACATTATTGGGATCTAAAATAAAATCCATCAACAGATGCAGCTGATGAGGAAAACCTGGCATTAAAGGACAAACTAGACTGATGCAGATCATCATCAGAGACAGGGGTCAAACTAAATGAACCCAAGTAGAGGCAAAGCTGAAACCAGGCAGACTGATGCAGCACCTCCTCCTCCTCCTCACCTCATCCCTCAGGTAGTCATACTGGTGACCATCCTGCAGAACTGCAGCCCAGTTCTTCTGCCTCTTCTTCATTTCCCTGTTGAACACATTCATGCTCCCTCTGCCAGATCCTGACAGGGCTCTGTTTGATCCAGATCCTGGCCTGCTGTTCCAGGAGGACAAGGGGGAGCAGATCCTTCCTGCAGGAGCAGAACTGACCAGCTGCAACCCCTGGAGGACCTTCTGGACTCCTCTGCTGTTCATAATGTTACTTCACAGTACAAGAACTCCTCCAACATGTCTGATCTCGGCTCAGCAGAGTGACCTCAGAGTGGAGCTGGATGGAAAACCCGGCTGGGTGGAATAAAACTAGGGAACTGGATCACAGCCTCATGGCTGCATCTGATTAACTGGGTTATGATCTGTCTCAGAAATACGTTCACAATCTGAAAAAAACAAAAAAGAAAAACATTTTAACTGTAAAACTGGAGCTAGGGAAGAATTTATGTTTAATCTTTGGCACATTTGCCCTGATATGTCTAAATATAAAGCCCCTATGTTACAGTGTAAACTTAAATAAATAGGAAAAGACTAGAATGACAACATGATATATGTTTAATAACTAATAAAGCTGTTTTTCTACTTTGAAATGCATATTTTTATGAATTATCCCCCGATCATATTTTGTTGGACTGAAATTCTTGAGTTACATCAAAGAAATAATGAATTATTACGTTTTTTACGATGGCCATGGAGCGTTGCTGTGCAGTTTATTCAGCAGCAGACATTTGTTTTTATTTTTCTGATAATTGTGGAATCAAATTCAAACGCAAGTGTTCATTTTTTGAATCCTAAAACGTGAACCTTTGAGGGTTAGTTGTGTAATCTGTGTTTCGCACTGTTTGTCCCACGCTGCGCGCCGTAGCTTCAGACCAGGAAGCACAACGGGAAGGGTTGGAACAGAGTGCATGCTGGGAGAACACATGTGTGAGGAGGACTGGTGAAGGTAAAGTGGCTCTAAAATGAGTTTTTAACTATGATGTGGAGTTTTTACTTCTGGTTCTGATTCTGGACTCTGAATCTATCCGAACCTGCAGGTGTTTAGTCGAAAACTGGTCGATAGAGTTAGATTCTGAAAAGATGGAGAGATGTTTTTATGCTAGACTACATTTTTCTCTCTGGTGGTTGTAAACAAACCTCTTCGGTTCGGTAATAACTCATAATTTGGATCATGTGCATAAAATGCCCTCTTATTCCGCTTAGCATGTTTTTAAAGTTTCTGTTTATAAAAAAATAATTTATTAGTTTTTTATCAGATAACACATGTTTAAAATCACGATAAACTATAGTTATAAAATAGATAAAGTAAATCAATTCAGCTGATAGAAGAAATTAAATAATCGAACTTAATACAAAAGAACATTAATTTAAGTGATGTAAATGTGAGCGTTTGAGCTGTCGAAGCATCATTTAGGTCTTTTGACCCTCAAAAGCACCAGTATTATTCTGCTACTCCCTGACCAGAGTAGACCTTTAACTGTCTTTAAATTAAATCTGCTGCAGGGAAGGTCAGAGATGAGTTTATATATAAGTTGCTTTGATGGTCAGACTTCTCTTTGGAAAAAAAAAACAGAAAAAGAAAGAAATCTGAAAAGATAAAACGATTAGAGTCAAGGGTGTAACTTTGTTATAAAAGTTGGTGCTGCTGATGGACCTGCAGCTACTCAATCCCAACGCTTTCAATAGGGTTTATATTTTCCAAAAATGAGCTCAAACATATATTTATTGAATGCATTCCTATTGTTGAGAACACAAGAGAAAATTATAATACACTTATTATTATAGTTATATACAGATGCCTGCCTTTAGTGCATTATTTATAAAGGACTCAAAAACATTAATGTATAAAAAATGATTAATAACAGCCGATACCGATGCCAACATCAATATATCCTGCATCCCTAGAATGGACACAACTTCACTTCCATCCATCCATCCATGCATGGCTTCCCTTTAAGCTGCATCATTGATTATCCTCCTTCACAAGCAGCAAAATCAAATTAGTCTCATATGTCATTGACAGCCAAAGTCTCTACATTGAAACTTTTCAGAAATCATTTATACACTGATTTTTATTATTTGTGCTTTAATTCTTGTAGGTTTCTTATATTTAAATTTTAAGTTTGTTTCCTGTGAGTCTGGCTCTCTCTGGGTTGCTGGAACAGCTATTTCTGAGTCTTGTTGAAATACAAAAGATATGTTGAATTTAATTATAGCATTGCAACGTGCAATTTTATTGCATGTTGCATATCCCAGTAAACCTGTTTCACCTTTAAATCTGCAGCTGTTCCTCATTGTGTCTCTGCTCTGCTTAACAGATTTATGAACCTGTCTACCAATATAAAGATGCCAGAGAAAATCATTTTCAGGATCTCTAGAAGCTCTGCTGTCTGATTCTCTGTTCAATAAGAAAACAAAAGATATGTTTTCATTTTAATCTGTAACTCTGAGTAATGGTCCTCTGAGAAGCCCAGCTTTTTTAACTTATATAAATGTACAATCTGTTGCCATTTTTAGCTGAAAAAGCTCCATATGTCTAACGAACTGATTTTTCGGTGGCATCTCTAATTTTTTTAAGTAACCAGTCTCCCAAATTTTACTGAAACATATATCGAAGTAGCTGCTGGTTAAGATTCACTGAGTGCTGCTGTGTCTCTCCTCCTCCATGTAGCTACTCTGTACGCAGTGAATAGCGACCTCAAGATATATTATGTCCCAAAGCGACAGATCCGATGATATTCCAAGAGGTGGGACTCGAGAGCAGCAAATACCTGGACTGAAAACGCTCTGAACACAGTTAGCTGCACCCAACCCCAGTTATTGTTGGCTAAAGTAAATCAGCGGAAAGCAGGAAAAAAGCGGAACTTATTGGTGGGGTCTGTCCCCTCCATGCCAAAGTTGGTGGGGACATGTCCACACCAGTCCTTCAGAAAGTTTTGCCAGTGAATAGAGTTCAGAACAAGCTCCAAGATAGTTGAATGTGCTGCCCAAAATCAATAATTTTAACATAAATACTTGTGCAGCTGCAGTTAAAGATCGATGGTGATAGTGTTTTGGAACAGGGAGCCGTTCTGACTGGATCTGGATTAAAACTGCTGTCTGATACATTTAGATACCAGTTATAGAAAGTCTCACACAGGAAAAATCTAGTGCAATAAAAAGACAAATTGTCAGCTGGATCTAATGAGTTCTGTTTACACGTGGTTCTGTTTGTGAATTAATTATGTCCGTCTGCTTTTATGTCATTAACTAACCTGAGTTTTTAATCCTGTCTTTTAGGTAAGGCTGTGATTATTTTCCCCCATCATGTCCAGAAAAAAGCAGGAAGAGGATGAACGGTTCCGCCGGGTCCAGAAGGACCCCAGGTTCTGGGAGATGCCAGAGAAAGAACAAAAGGTCAAGATCGACAAGCGCTTTCAGTCCATGTTCCATGACCAGCGCTTCAAGGTGAAGCAGACGGTGGACAAACGAGGTCGGCCCGTCAGCCACTCCACCTCTGAGGATCTGAGGCGGTTCTACAAGCTGTCTGATTCAGATGAAGATGATGATGATGAGCCTCCAAAGGTGGGGAAGGGGGAGAAGAAGAAGACAAAAGCAGTGGAGCCGTCTGGACGAGGAACTGCTGCAGAAAAAGGTCAGAATATGAATTTATACTGATTTGGGAATCTGGAACTAAATCTGCAAAACTGAGGGATTTTCTCTGGAGGATAATAGAAGAATCTGAACTTAAAGGTAAAGCTTTGGGGTTACAGCCCCACCAAAGCTTCGACCCTTCACTGTAGTCCGGAGAGGTGGGTCATTACTGCAAGAACCAGATGCAAAATCTTGCAGACTGATATTAAAATACAGAATCCGCTTTTTAAAACAATCATAAGAATTTGTTTTGTGATGTAATGGATGGATGCAAAACAGTGAGACTTGCTGTAAATTCATTAGACATGCCACAGGCATTAAAGAGGGGTACCAAAAGAAGGGTAACCATAGCTCTGTAATTTCCCCCCTCAGATGATGAAGATGAGGAGCAGCTGTCTGAGGATGAAGATCTGGGAGACAGTGACTCTGATGAAAATGGGGAGGGTTATGAAGAGGAGGAGGAGAGCGATGCAGCGAGGGGGTCTGACGATGAGTCCAGTTTGGATTCTGGCGACGACAGCGACAGCGGACCTGATCTGGCCCGAGGTAAAGGAAATATCGAGACCAGCTCAGATGAAGATGATGACGATGATGATGTGGAAGACATCCTGAAGAAAGAGGAAGAGGAGATTGAACATGACTGGGGGGAGCTGTGCAAAGACGCTCCACGGAGTGATGAGGTGAGGCCGGCGTCCCACACTGTTTACGTTTGATCACTGCTGCACTTTATGGAATGAAATGTTAATTTACTCTCTGGAAAGCTGTACTTCAAACATCAATGACAATAAAAGTTGTCTAAGTCCCGCAGAAGCATGGGACAAGTTAAACCCTGTTTTTAGCAGTTTGTTCTCATGTTGTAGGTCTCTGCTCGGATCGCTGTCTGCAACATGGACTGGGATCGCATGAAGGCTAAAGACCTGCTGGCTCTGTTTAACTCCTTCACACCTAAAGGGGGCGCCGTGCTGTCTGTGAAGGTAAATCTGATGTGAAATGAGTGTTGAAGCAGATAAATGCATAGAGATATTATAAAGCTCTAAAGCATCAGTTGAGGATGTAACTAACTAGAAACATGCCTGAAAGACAAGACCCAGGGCCCAGCTTGGCACTGACCCTTGAAGTTAGGATGAATAATGTGATATTTACGCCCAGGGCTTGGTTTTGTTTTCGTTTTTATTTTCAGGCCATTGTGTGAACTAGAGTGCGTTTATTTGTAGAAACCAGGAAGGACTCAGCTGTTTCCAGCCTGTTTATTCTAAGTGACAGCATTGTATTGTGGGTGTTTTTGGCCAGATCTACCCGTCAGAGTTCGGTAAGGAGAGACTGAAGATGGAGGAGACGCAGGGACCGCCGGAGCTGAAGGCGCTGCCTGACGACTCTGAGGACGACACAGAGGAAGAGAAGTGAGCTCATAGGTTCTACCTACAGAGATGTGCTACACCGCCCCCTGCTGGAGACGTTGCAGCTTAGCTCAGCCTGTATTTCTTACAAACCTGTATATCTGTGCCCAATATCTTACATCTACCATACAATCTGGTAAATTTGGAGGATCTTTGAAAGAGAGCAGACGCTGCTACTTTCAAGTATTAGTTTAACGGCTCCAACGTAGGGTAAAATTCTGTTACTTAACGCTGAGTGAGGCTGGTTGAAACAAACTGCTTTTCTGCATTAACTTCTGAAAGCAGGTCTGTTAATAGTTTTGTTTTTTAAATGTTTGTGTCCTCTCTTTAGGGTTTATAGGGAGAAGCTGCGGGACTACCAGTTCAAGCGTCTGAAGTATTTCTACGCTGTGGTGGAGTGCGACTCTCCCGAAACGGCGGCCAAGATCTATGAGGAATGCGATGGCTATGAATATGAGAGCAGCTGCTCTGTTCTGGACCTTCGGTATCAGTATAAATTGAATAAACCAAAGAAAGGGGCAGGATCTCAAACTGATCTGTTTGAAAGCTGAGTGTTTTTTGTTTTTTTTTCTTCATTCTCAATCTACAGTTTTATTCCTGACGATGTGATGTTTGAAGAGGAGCCCAAAGACGTGGCGACAGATATCAATCTGTCAGCATACCAACCCAAACTCTTTACCTCTTCTGCTACGGCCACCTCAAAGGTAAGAACCCTGTCGATTCCAGGCCGATGGGAGAATAGAAGTGTAAACATGGGATTTTGTGCTCCCATCACGCTTTGGTTTGGGGCTAAGGATGATTGATTGAAAACGGTAGCATGACATTAGACTGTCTCTGACATTAATCAGCTCTGGATGTGGTTTGTAAAAAAAGAAATGTATAACGAGGGAAAAGGAACGAAAACTGCTTTGTTCGTTTCTCAAATGATCAGAAAACACAAAGAGAGGCTTCAAATAGCAACAACTGATTGACGTTCACTCGTTTCCCTTTCCTTTGTCTGTTGAATTAATCAGGTGCAGCTGACGTGGGATGAAACGGACCACGAGCGCGTGACGGCACTGAGCAGAAAGTTCAACAAAGACGAGCTGCTGGACTTGGACTTTAAGGCTTACCTGGCGTCCTCCAGTGAGGAGGATGAAGATGAAGAGCAGGAGGATGAAGCAAGCAAAGGTACAAATTAGGAAACCAACCTTTTTTTTTTTTTTGAGGAGAAGAGATGGTGCTCAGCTGACCTTTTGTTTCAAATAGAAGAGGCCATCAGTGAAGAAGTGGAGGAGAAAGAGAAGAAGAGGAAGAAGAAGGAGAGAAGTGAGGAGCAGATCAATAAATACAGGGAGCTGCTGAACAGCATCCAGGTCAAAGAGAAGAAGCTGCAGGAGGAAAAAGACATGGAGATGGAGATCACCTGGGTGCCAGGTACCAGAGCGCTTTGAAAGGCCATCTGTCCATGCCATGCAAGATTCTTTTTTTCTTCCCAGCGAATTAAGCTGAAACTTTCCTGTGTGAGCAGGTTTAAGGGAGACAACAGAGAAGCTGGTGAAGAAGAAGCTGGAGGGCAAGGACAATTTGACGCCCTGGGAGGAGTATCTAGAGAAGAAGAAGGAGAAAAAGAAGCAAAAGAAAAGTAAAAAAAAGCAGGTGAGAGTGGAGCCTCCTTCAGGGAGAATTCTGAACTGCTGATGGTAATAGTTTTATTGGATGAGTCTGATGATGTTTTGTTCATCAGGGAGCTGATGAAGAGCTTAGTGATGACGAGCTTCCATCTGATGTTGACCTCAGCGACCCGTTTTTCTCAGAGGAGCTTGGAACATCAGGTGAACTGGTTGCTCAATCTTTGTTACCATGGCTACAGGGGTGGAGTTTGGGCGTTGCTCCAGATAAACAGAATTGATGATCTAATCCTCTCTCATCGTCAAGCAGAAAGTTGCTCTAGTTTCATTTCCAAACAAACATTTTATTTCAAAATGAGTTAATGAGACTTAGACTCAACTTTATTTACTCCTTTAGAGAAATTCTGGTTCCAGTCGCTTATATAGAATACAAAGATTTAAAGCAAGATGCGATTAAAGATAAAAATACTACAGACAATATAAAAAGAGTGTATATAGTATAAAATGGAAATGTCTTAAGAGCTGTACTGATGAAATCTCCTTTTGGATACACTCTGTGTACAAAATGACAATTAACTCTAAGTCTAAAAGCATAAAAAAAAGAAAAATGTCCTGAAATAAATTTCCTTTAGATATAAAAATATCTGCACAGTAGAGAGTTAAGAGAAGACTACATAGTTGTTGACTTGGATTATTGCACTTGCACTGCAGAGATGTACTGACCTTTTAAAATAAGTTAAAATTACTGAATGCACAGTAGTTGGCATGTGTTATTGCACAGTGAGAGAGAAGAATATTACACATGAGTGACAATAGGTAATGTTTAGCATATAATGTCAAAGGCGTTGATAGTCCAAGCTAAAGTTCTGTTGGTACATTTTACTGATTAAAGCGTGTTAAATATTAATTAAGCAGAAACATGTTTTAAATTGTATAATCCATGCTGGTTGAATATAAAGATTGGGCTGCTGCAGGATTTATCACAGAATCACTAGATGAAACAATGGAAGTGGAGCAGAGAGAGGAGGGTTAAGGAGGGGGGGGAGTGTTTAACTGGGGGGTTGGAGGGAAAAAAATGCTGAGCTTCTTCCTAAACTCAAACTAAAGGTCTTTAGTTCACTTTTATTGTCATTCTCATATCGAGCCCCTTCCTGTGCGCCTCCTGGCTACTACTTGTTGCTCATCATAAAGACTGTAGAGCAAAAGGAAAACTTTCACAAAAGTCCAGTTTCAGCAAGAAAATCCGTAAATAAAGGTTTAAAAATTATTAATAAGACAAGCAACAGAGCTTCGATTTATTCCTCGATTCAACCTTTGATTACTGTAACATGATGCAAGAAAAAAAAACATTTTAAGTAATCATACCTCTATAACCATTTTACTTTTGAATATTTCATTTTTGGGATGCAGTTAAAATCACTTGGATAGATCTAACCTACTTTTTTGATTAAGAAAAGTTCAATATTAAAATATATTTAACTTATTCCTAATTGGCAACAAGATTATGGTTTTTACTGTCGTTTTTGTTTCAGACCTGAAGAAGAAACAGAAGAAGAAAAAGGAAGAAAAGAAAACCGAGGATAAGAAAACGACGGTTGAGGAGGAAGAGGAGCTTGAAAAACAGAAGGTCCTGATTGACTCCTAGATTGAAAAATAATGTTATTTACCCTCAGACAACCTGATCGCAGCTCCTGAACCTGCGTCTGTTTTCCAGGCTGAGATGGCTCTGCTGATGGAGGACGACGAAGACGAAGCCAAACACAAACACTTCAACTACGACAAGATCGTAGAACAACAGAACCTGAGCAAGAAGAAGAGGAAAAAGCTGCTAAAGAAAGGTGGAGAGTCACTGGAGGAGGACGACTTCAAGGTGAGATTCAGCTCCACAGGCAGCTCAGCTTAGGCAACCAGCTGGATTTAAAACGCTATAGTTTTCAGTCTGCATTTGGAAACCCACATGTTGAGATTTGAAAGATCCTCAGGCATCATGTTCAGCTCCCTGAGGATTTGGGCTGACCTAAAATCAGCTGCTGCAGCGATGAATAGGCTGGTTTTATTAAAATGATGCGCTGCTTCTAAAATCTAAACACGAAGCTGAAGCCTGCAAACTTATGGAGGTTTTAAAGCAGACCTGAAGAGCATCACTAGACATATAAACTACTGTAACTGTAACACCATGGGATTGGAAGCAGTCTGACTCTCCGCGTTCGGGTACAGTAGGGGTCTCCAAACCGCAGTCTGTGGCCCATGAAGTGGATCTAGGTAGCTTGTGACCAAAACTAAAAATATTTGATCTTCTAGAACTGATGTAAGTTGAGAGACACAATTTTTGAAGTAAAATTGTCACAGATTGGGAAAAACAGACACAACTTAAGACATGTTTGTAAAAAATATTAGCTTGAACAGAAATTATTAGTTTGTATTTTGACTTTTTTTTAGAAAAACAAAGTCAATAGGATCACAAATGTGCAAAGAGTTTTACTCAGAAGCAGATTTCAGATTTGGTATCAACCAATAATTAAAATTGACCAAATTACACGGGCAAAGGAAAAGTTTAAAGTTTATTTATTATTGAGCATCTAAACAATAATTAAATAACATTTATTTTTTGCTTTTTAAGCAACAGAAATATGAATTCTGTGGCCCATCTGGCAAATGTTTTGGACACCCCTGACATAGACCAAGGTTTGCTCCATGACAGGAATAGAATTAAAACACAGAAAACCATAATAAAAGCATGTAAAAAAATATGTAGATAATTATTTAATCTTGAAATAAATCAAAATGTTTTGTAACTTTCTACTGAAAGCATATTTCTTTTCTGTTTATTTTTTTACTTGAGTCATTTAGCCTTTTTTAGTTTACTATTTTATGAATAACTTTATAATAGTGGTTCATTAAAGTTTAACCAGCCCAATATTTAGGTTTCTGCACAACCATAAACACTAAGAGGCATTGAAGTTGGTCTCAAGACCTAATGATTCAGAATACTGCCAATTGAAAGCAAATAAAGGCATGAGAAAAATTAACCATTTTATATTTTGCCTCTAATCTTCTGCAAAGTCCCATCAGTCAGGATCTAGTAAACATAAAGTGGTCTGTCTGTTTGCAGGTGGACGTCTCAGACCCCCGTTTCCAGGCCATGTTCACCTCCCACCTGTTCAACCTGGACCCCTCCCATCCCAGCTTCAAAAAGACCAAAGCCACACAGAGCATCCTAGAGGAGAAGCACCGGCGCCGAGAGCTGGGGCTCAACGCACAGAAGCCAGCGACCGCCTCAGAGGCGGCCGCAGAGCCAGGCAGCAAACAGGAAGGAGCAAAGCGAGAAAAGGACTCTTTGACACAGAAGAAAGCAATGGATCCAAGCCTGTCGTTGCTGGTTAAATCCATCAAAAGCAAAACGGAGCAGTTCCAGGCTCGTAAAAAACAGAAAGTGACGTAAATCTTCCTGATATACGAGCCACTTCCTGCTGCTGGGACGTTTTTTTTTTATTTTTGCGCAGGAAAACTATACAAGTGGAAGTAAAAGCAATCTGAATCAGAGCTATCAGCATCAGTGGTTAATTTAATTACACCTGAAGATACAGTTAATAGCAATTGCTTCGTATTTATAATGTTTTAATAAATATGAAGCATTTGGAATGTGGATGGAAATGTGTTCAGTCTTCAGATGTTACATTTATAAGGATACGACGAGTCCCATCATATGTGACAGTCTGGCTAATCTGGCCTCTTACTTTCACTAATATTTTCTACTTTGCAGTGCTAATATTTGTTGAAAGTTCTCTTATGAAATGTAAATGTGAACCATCCATCCATTTTCTGACACGCTTTATCCCAAGTGGGGTCACGAGGGGTGCTGGTGCCTAATCTCCAGCTGTCTACGGGCGAGAGGCGGGGTACAGCCTGGACAGGTGGCCAGTGCATCGCAGGGCTGTATATGTGAACATTTTGCATAAAGGCAAAAAAATAAAACAATTTTCACATTTTAACTGATTCAGCTCAGTTTTCTATATTTATTGCATCATATACGGTAATAACACATTGCCTTAAGATGCAAAAAAAGTCATTCAGTTTTATCATAGAGGCAGTATCAATTAAATTGATAACAACTGATCTAATCAACCAGTACAGTAAAATTCAGTTTATTATTCAAATATGTTAAAAAGTTTACTATCAGTTACGGGGTCTGGGAGTTCAAACCCTCCCAGGTGGATATTGCTGCATACTGCTTCAGCCTGGTTAGTTTGTCTATAATGTGCCCAGATTCATGCCCAGCCTCCACTGGATGGAGAAAGAGAATAAAGTCCATTTACATTTTCTTACGTTTTCCTCACTTTACTGTGGAAGAAATACACCTGACACCTTCAATTATTTCATTTCATTGTTGCATTACATTGCAATAACAGTCTTCTTTTGTAAGGAAAAATTAAATAAGATCTGAAATCATCTTTGCATTTTATTATTACCTTAAAATAAAACTTGCCCAGTTAATTATCAGGTATTTTTATACCAATTTAGCATGGTTTGGCTACTACTGCCTTATTTAACACATAACAAGAAATACTATATTGCTATAAGACATCTCTCACTAGCTTTCAACAAAGAAAAGCTGTTTACATGTTCATATTTACAGAAAGCATTAAATATTGTGATTTTCTGCTTAAGAAATTCCAAATTTGGGGAAAAAAATGAAGTTGCTAAACAGATATTTTGTTCAGCTATTTGAGCTCTAAGCGTTTACAGGAAGAGCTGGTTTCTTCTTGGTGTGATGAACAGCACAGATGATGAGAGGAGCAGAGTTTTTTCCACCATAATTAACAGCAGGGCTGAAGAACGGGTAGATTCTACCAGTGAAGTTGCAGCTGGTAAAGGAGTGGATCAGAACTGCAGCATCTGCATCATAAAAGGAGACCAGACCGTCCTCATAGTCCACAAACACCCCGATCTTTTCAGGACGGGTCCGAGGAGAGAGACGGAGCGGCGGGTCGGACAGAGCTTCGTACTCGCAGGACCTGGAGAAACTCAGAGCCCAGGAACCATCCTGACAGCTGGGCATAATAATCCTCTTCCTGTCGGTAGTCTCACTGGAGACGCCTACCATCCAGTGAGTTTTTCCTTTCACAAGAACCTCAAAGCTAAATCTGCCAGAGGAGAAACCTGATTTTCCTAAAACACAAAGTAAATTAACAAACTTTTTCGGGTTTTCTGGACCAATCTGCCCAACATCTGCGCAGTGAACCTGTTTTCCATCTGCAGACAGCCGGAGTTTGGGATGGGCCGTCTCAGGGTCAAGGGTCACATCTACTGCATGCTGTTGGAATTTATTCAGTTTGAAGGTCTTCATTTTCTCCCTGAGCTCCTCCTCCAGCTGAATCACAGCCCCTTCCACAGTCCCCTCATACGATGGAGGACAGAATCTGATCTCCGTCCGCTTCTTGAGGTTTGGAGCTGCGTTCAGGGAGGAGAAGCTTTGGAGGATGTGGAGGTGGTCATTAGACTCCGAGATCCGCTTCACCTCACAGCTCCTCTTCATCAGCTCAGAGATTTCCTGTTCCAGATCTTTGATACAACCTTCTGCCTGCTTCTCTGTATTTTTTTGTTCATCTTCGATCTCCTTGATGAGCTCCTTCAGGCCTGTCTCTGCAGACTCCTTCAGAGCAGTGAAAACACGAACACCTTCTTTACCAATCTTCACAGACTCTTTAATCTCCTGTACTTTCCGTCGTCTGTTCTGGATCATCTTCTGGACTTCATCCTCTGTCTTTCTCAGCTCTGCTTTCTTTCCTTCAGATTCTTCTCCCAAAGGAACAAACTCGTGGTCCTTGTGGTCTAAAACAGAGCACAGCGAGCAGAGACATGTCTGGTCGGTCTTGCAGAACAGCTCCAGAGGTTTATCGTGCTGCAGACACATCCTGTCCTCCAGGTTCTCCATAGGCTCCATCAGCTGATGTCTCCTCAGACGTGGAGCAGTCAGGTGAGGCTCCAGATGAGCTTGACAGTAGGAGAGCAGACACACCAGGCAGGACTTCAGAGCCTTAAGTTTGGTTCCAGTGCAGACGTCACAGAGAACTTCTCCATGTTTTACAGCCTGTTGTTCTGAGCGGCTGCCGATATCCTTCAGCTGAGCTTCCTCTCTAAACTGAGCAACCATCCCAGAGAGCAACGTGTTGACCTGGATTTCAGGTCTTGCCCTGAAATCCTTCAAACACAACGGACAATTGCAGCTTTCATTGACATCCCAGTATTGAGTGATGCAGTTCTTGCAGAAGTTGTGTCCACATGGTGTGGTGACCGGACCAGTGAAAAGGTCCAAACAGATGGAGCACAGAAATTGATCTTCAGAGAGAGAATTGCTGGTAGCTGACATGTCTGAAGTCAGAGAGATAAAAGAAAGAGGTCACCCAAACATGGATTGCTTTTTAGAGCCTCTAATTAATCAGTTTTTTCTAAAAATGTGCATAAAATACCATGAAAGTATGTTAGAGATACGTAGGAGACACCAAAGATTGTACTTATCAACATCTTCATAACAATTTAACTTTATCAATCTCACATTGAAAAAATTAACCTCAGCATTTAACCCATCCCCTTGGGGAGCAGTGGGCTGCCACCATGCAGCGCCCGGGGAGCATTGTAGGGTTAACGGTGTGGCAGTCTGTGGGAGTGGGGCTCAAACTCAGAACCTATGGATTCCTAGCTCTATACCCTAACCACTAGGCTCCCCATAACTGCAGCAAATTTGAACTGAAGAAGTTAAAGCTTATTTGATCAACAATGGTTTATGTGGGCCGACAGAATGGAAAGTTTGAAGAGAAGAGAAAGAGAAATCAAGTAACACACACAAGTAAACCCCTAAATTACTTCAACCTATGGGAAAAACCTTTATTTTTAAATATGACATAAATGCAATGATCTAGACCTACCAGTTTAGAGATGAATACTTGATGGAGCTGAATCTTCTTTAAGAAAGTAACCAGACTCTTTGTTGTCGAAGCTGCTGCTGCTTCTCTAAGTCTCACTTTCATTTAAGGAGTCTGACGCTTAGATCTCCTCCTATTTCCTCGTAGGCGTATCCTCCTGCAAATATGCAGGCCTTCATCACTGGGATGAATATGGTGGGGTAAATCATTATGCATCAAAGATAACGTTGCTGTCCTGCTAAGAAAAGATATAAAGTGTGCTAACACTGAAATATTATGGCCACAGTTCAACAAACCCCATTGCAAACCTTTATCTGCTGCTGTTAATGCAGTTCACCGGGTAGGCTATGTAGACAAAATATGTGAAACTTTAGATAGAGTGTCTGAGAAAAATAAAGATACTTTTCTTTAAGAGCATTTTAATAAATAATTGATTTCTAAACATGGTCATTTACCTTCTATGGCTAGTATTTGTAAATGTAGCCGAATAGTCAAGCAGCCCATTAGAATTTCTTTTGGCACAAATGGTAAGAATATCCTGCCTTGTATTGACCTGATATTCACTAGAGCTAGTTTTAAACATAGTTTCAAAAGCTGCAATGTCCAGTGATCACAATCTTATTGCTTTATCTGGAAAAACTAAATTGCCCAAATAAGGAATTAGGATCCTTCTCTGCAGGTCATTTAAAAGATTGAACCCAGATTTTATTTTTTCATATCTGGCATTGATAATATGCAACGGTCAGATGTTAGTAACAGAATGTAAATGTTGTCTTAAAATACTTTTATGCATACATTAATGAAACTGGTAAATAATCACACTCATTGTGGTCAGAGGTGTCAAGTAACAAGGTATACTTTGTTAATTTTGGTTATCTATACTTTACTGGGGTAATTTTTTTTAAGACAACTTTTTAATTCTAACATTTTTTGCAATTATCTCTACTTTCTATTCCTTACGTTTTAGAATTAGAAGCATTAGTTTTGTTTCATTTTGAGCTCATTTTCGATATGGCTTGTTGGTATTTAAAAATAATAATAATAATAAATAAAACCATCAAAATAATTTGTTTTGTCAAGACAATTAATGTCTTTGTGGACTTGGTGCTGCACCAACTTGTTGTTCCCCACCTAACAAAATGAATAGTTTTTCAAGATGATGCCAAGTTCAATTTATCACTGTTACCATTAGTTATAAAAATAAGAAAATGAAGTTTAAGGAAATCATCATATTTTAATAGCGTAGAGCAGTAAAGCTTCTGTCCTTTATATTTTTTCCTGAATTACTTTTACACTTTAAGTAGTTTTTGAAAAAAAAAACAAGAAGTGTTTTTAAACAGTAGGATTTATACTTTTACTTGAGTAATAAATATTTATACTTTTGACACCTCTGCTTTTGGTGGGAAAACATCTATTTCCTATTAATTCCCTATTATATATATTGATATAAGAGTGCTGAATTGTATTCATTTAGGCCAATGGACAGAGGGGTTGTTCATCCTATTAGGGAGCAACCCAGTCTCATGGGAAAATGTACCTCCACTACGTTGGTCCACACTGCAAAACGTAGTGGCCATTTTTTTGTGGTACTGTTACATTTCTTCTGCCTATACGCTTTCTATTGCAACCCAGTCTCATGGGAAAATGGGAGTGTTAGAAATAAAAATAATGGTTCTCATAACAAGATAGACTGTTTCTAAGGGATTATTTCATGACCTTATGTGTTATTTCCAACTGTCTGTCTTTGGGTAACAGTGTGGAGACTTTCACAGCCTTTTTGCAGGGTTTGAATTAGTAAGAGACCTACACTGTCTAGATCAGAACAATGCAAAAAAGCGTCATATGTATATCTTGTTCTCTTTTTACTTTGCTAAGTAAAATAAAGTGCTGACTGAGTGAAATACATTGTCAGTTTATTTAACTGGAATGTATATTTGAATACTTTTTCACACATTACTCTTAGAAAAAGGTCTGGAAAAAGTTGCAGTTACCGAACACTTACTTCTTATTGAGAAACAAGGTCACAAAACTAAGTCACAACAAAAAGACTAAATATTTAATGTGCGAAAGCCAAAATCATCACATAAGCACATATGCAGAAGTCCAAGTCTAAGAATGTGAGGAGCCGTTCATCACAGCGATCTGAAAATGCTAATTTGTTCAGCAATTTATTTACAAATAAAGTTAAAAATTTTAGATCTGTTATTAACTCTACTGATAGTGATAATGTAAATTAGTTGATAGTATGTGATCTAATGACACACACGTGACTTTAGAGCAGTGACTTGGGATGCTGTTGAGATGATGCTTCAGTGTCACTCTGAAGATTCACCTTCTGGTATAGATAATCTGGATATAAAAATACTTGACTTTCACAATGATGCATTGACCAGGAAGCACAGTTCCTTCTCCAACAGCACACAGACGGTCTTTTCCTCTGCACTATTCATATAACAGCATGAGAGCATCATGTGGGAGGAAGCTGTTTGGGTCCACTTTCATTTTCAATATCTAACGATTATCCGTATGTTGCTCAAAAGGCTGATGTCTGCTGATGATGCCAATCTGCTCACTGCAGCATCAACAATACAAGAACTGAATGGGAGTCTACAGCAAGAGTTGAATAAACGTTAGCAAATATTACTTCACTTACATTGTATATTGAGGATCCCAAGGTGGAGCAGGAATCCAGGTTCAATGGGCATTAGATTAGACAGTTTATTGTTCTGCTCAGATCAAATTAACCAGGTAGTCAGGATGTTGGGCTGGGGAATTGCCATGTCAAGAAAATTTTCTAAGTATTGTCCAGCTGCTGTAATGAAAAATGTTATCCAAAGTCTTGTTTTTATCACATTTACAATATCCTTCAGTTGTTTGGTCCACCCTGAATCATCCAATAAATTTTCAAATAGCTGAGAATAGAGAAGCCAGAATAGTTTTGCAATTTCCTTTTTGCACCCATGTGCATCTTTATCTGTGTTGGTTAATTGTGCATGCAAAAGTAAAATAAAGTCTTCTGCAGTTTATGTAAAAGGGTTAAGCATCAATGTAATTGCCTGCCTCCAGCTGCTCCCTTGTAATTTTTTTTAGTTAAAAGAATGTTGGGTTTAGAATACATTAAATAAAGATGAGACACAACGAGGCACTCAGACACGGCATCCGTTTTACGCTTCTGCAGAAGGGAGAGAGCAAACAGGAACCTTCTCTCTACTACTCTCTCAGCAGCTCTCCCTCAGCACCCGCCTTTTATCAGAAAGAAAACATGAAGTGGTTACAAGGTCAGCCAATAATAAAGCAGTAACACATCTTATGCCTTTAAGAAAAGCATAAGTCTTACACAGTATAGATAGTAGAAGTGTTGTTCATCTTTCTGGTGACAGCAGTACCTCTCAGTACCGGTTTCTAACAGCATTAGCCATGCCATAGGTTAGCTGGTCATGCAAGCATGGGAAGTGTGCAGCTTTTATGTGCACATTATGTTCCCTTTGACTTCATAGAGACCCTTTAGCGCTGTATAGAGGAGAACAAACCTTTCAAAGACCATTACAGCCTTTAAATAAAATTTATATAATTTACCAAAATATGTAACAAAAATTATATATATATATATATGTGTGTTATATTTAATACAAAAATAATAAATTGGCGGCCACCCTTGTGACCTGTGTGAATAGGATAATTTCTACTTCATATTGTCATAGACTCTTGTGATAAGTGGGGATATTTCTTTTCCCAAATCTTGATGTGATTATCCGTATGTTGCTATCTGTGACACTTTAAAGATAACAAAAAAGAAATAAAAAAAATTGGCCAAAAGTTAAGGGATGAAAAGTAACAATAGACAGATTTTAAAAAGGAAGATGGTAGAGAAACCAGGAGGGTCAGTGGTGAAGTGGAGCGACTAAATGTGCAACATCTGAAGATATGAGGGAGGAGCATGATGTTTGAATAATTGAGAAGGTAAGATTTCAGAGTAAATTGGTGGAGCAAAAAAAAAAAGCCACAGAGTCAACTGGATACCATGAAATGTATTTATTCTCAATATAAATTCTAGCAAAGAGATTTAGTTCACTTTGTGAAACATTTTATTACCCAGCAACACATAAATTATGAATGAAATCAGTCCTGCTGGTCATTCTTGTTCCTTTCTGATTTTTTTTATGGAAAAAAAAAAATCGAACCTTTACCTAAAATCTGTCTTTGTTTCTTAGAAGAGAAAATAAAAACAAATATCTTTGATTTTTTTTTCTTTATTCCAATTTACATGTAAGATATTTCTTACATATTTTGATGTCCAGCTTCTCCACTGGAGCACCCTGATTCTTATTCTTGTTCACATGATTACTGCTACTTTATAAAAGACTTGACAGAAACCCTGACATCTTAAATATTATAAGTGATAATGAAAATGACATTAAGTAATTCATCTACCCAGCTTTACCATTTGTAATCAAAAGAAAAAAAACTATTTCAACCAATAGAGGGCAGCACTATAATAGTTTCAGGCCAAATATTGCAAACAATTTTATATAGAAATGTCAATTTGTAAAAAAGTTAAAAAAAATAAGTAAAAAAAAAACAGTTTATTTGCAAAAAAAAAAAAAAAAAAAAAAAAAAAACACAGATTAGGACCTGGATTAACTTCCTACAGATGGACAGTAGCTTTATTGTTCAGAAAAATGTGAGAAAAACAGAATTCAGAGCAAGTTTTCAGGCTTTATTATCACAAAATCTACTTAAAGATCTCACAGTTTGAGGTCATCAGTTACAGATTTCATTTATTTACAGAAAGAAACGAGTCAGACATTAAAAAGTGTTAAAACTGAAGAACTGGAGGTTTTTCTTAAAAAAAAAACATTTTCAGACTTGAGGTGTTGCCCTTTGTTTGGGAAATGTTTTTTATTTCTTTGTGAGCTTTTATTATATAAATTATTATTATTATTATTGTAAATTAAAAACTGTCCTGTTCTGCTAAAGGCACTCCTACAGGAGTCAAGAAGTCTCGGAAACTTTGCATGTTATAGCACTTTCTGTAAAGACAAGACTGATTACAGAATTTTCTCTGTGGCTCATTTTCAAAAAGATAAAAATGTTTGTGCAAAATAAGAAAAAGGGAATAAGAAAGAAAAGGAACATTCAGCCTTCTCATAATAATTACTTAATCTAAACCTGAATATTCATCTAAAATATCTGCAGATAAAAACCCCCCTTATTAAACATAAAGTGAGATTGACTCCAGTCATTTCTGGGAAATACTCTGTTTAACCCAAAGTCACTCAGTGAGATCTTTGAGAGGAGAGAAGGTGTTCATGGAAGAAAGATTGGTTTTATTCATCAGAACGGATCTCGTGAGCTTCTCGTCATCAGTGAAGAACCAATGATGGATAATCTACAGCTTGAATAATTTCTAATCTAGAATAATTTACTTACTATCTTGGGAAAAATTAGCTCCTCCTTTCAATCTCCAGAGAAGGTACCAGAAACATGTTCTGATGCATGATCACTCTGAGGTTCAGTCACCATTAAGGCATGTTTAGGTCTTAGTTTACTGCATCCATTAGGCAGGTTAAAAACTTTAAACCCACAGCATCGTATAAAGTTGAGCCCAACAGGATTCTGCAAAGTTCTAGTGTTTCTTTTCTCAGGTTTTATCAAAAGAAAATCTCCAAATGAGAAACAGGCGATTGGATGATTGAGTAACTTAATAGAATAGGTCTTTAAATATGGGACAGAAATGTATTGTATGAAGAATATCCGAGCCCACTGAATGGAAACCCAGTTTGATCACTGAACTGATCTGACACTTAATACACAAGGTCTTCCTGTTGGTTCTGTTGTCATTCTTCAGCTATAAACTGATCAGACCCTGGAGATCAGGTCCAGTTTTCCCACTGTGACAATCTAACTCTTAACATTTTTCTATCCTGATCAAAAAGCTTTGGGTTCTAAGCTGAAACAGGACAGTTTGGATCATTGTAGCAGCCGGAGCATTAAAGAAATGTTCTGGTTTCACCAGTTGATTCCTTATTCAATCCAAATACGATAAAGTTAAAAACTTTCCACATGGTTTATACACAGTAGAAAGGCACAAAGAGGGCAGTAGATTATCAAGATTTAAATCAGGAAGCTTTCAGAATTGACAAGCAAATAAATCTAGAATTATCTGTTAAACCCTCTCCCTGAACTGCCTCCATCGCGGTGCTTCCCAGAACCTTTCAGCAGCTACTATCCTACTACAGTCCGGGGAACTCAAAGACGGCTGCAGCTCCCATGCCTGTGCCGATGCACATGGACACGACTCCATACGCCCTGCAGGCAGAATCAGGGCAAAGTACCATGAGGGACAATAAAACCCAGACAAGTTAATGTAAGGACCTGAGCTGCAGCGGATCAAACAAACCTCCTGCCTCTGCGTCGGAGCTCGTTTAGCAGCGTCACCACCTGCCGTGCTCCAGTGCAGCCCAGAGGGTGACCAAGGGCGATGGCCCCCCCGTTAGGATTCACCTTCTCCAGCGGGATGCCCAGCTTCTCCACACAGTACACAGCCTGAGGGAGAAGGACGTCCTGCAGTTACTGGATCAACACACGCGCAGACACACACACACACTCAGGTGTTCAGACCAAACCTGGCTTGCGAAGGCTTCGTTGATTTCAAACACATCAATGTCGTCCACAGTCAGACCTAAAGGAGAGACATCAACGAGCCTGTTTAGTTCCAGAAGTTTGAAACGGCATAATTTGGAAGATCGTGGAAGGAAAAGAGATCCTGATCCAGAAAACATTTAAAGATCTGGAGCCAGCTATTACCAGTAACCAGAGTCCAGCTGTTACCGGTAACAGGAGTCCAGCTGTTACCAGTAACCAGCTCTCCAGCTGTTACCACAGTCCAGCTGTTATCAGTAACCAGAGTCCAGCTGTTACCAGTAACCAGAGAACAGCTGGTAATTATGATTGGTATAATGCACTGATACTGTCAAAGTAATATGCTGAGTGAGGGGGTTTGGCACTACCCAAGATGGTGGCCCCACAGCCTGATAAAAGTCAGGAAAACAATGTAGAAAAGTTTCTGAGGTGTGGAAAACCAGCTGTTCATTTCTGATGGCTCAGGAATTCACCCGGAATAACTGCAGCAGTCTCACTCTGACTGGAGCTCACCTGCCTGCCGTAGAGCAGCAGGGATGGCTAGTGCCGGTCCGATCCCCATAACGTCCGGAGGAACCCCCACCACGGCACTGCCCCTGAGGATTCCCAGAACTGGAAGACCCAAAGCCTCCACAGCGGACCTGCGGCCCAGCAGTACAGCCGCCGCCCCGTCGCTCACCTGGCTGGAGTTACCTGGAACACAGTCGAGAGTCAGCAGCAGCTGAAGTGGAGGCGGTACTGAGGATCAGCCCCGGTTCCGACCTGCTGTGGTGCTGCCATCGGGTTTGAAGGCGGGTCTGAGTCTGGAGAGTCCCTCTAGGGTTGTTCCCGCTCTGATGCCTTCATCTTTCCTCACCACCATCCGGCGTTCGTTTCCTGAATCGTCAGTGACTGTGACGGAGATGGGAACGATCTCCTGGTCGAACCGACCCAAGTTCTGAGCCTTGGCTGCTCTGCAGGGACACCAAAGGTCAAAGCAGACGCAGGGATGAAGGTCTGAGCAGCATTTAAGAACTCATAAACACAGGATTTACAAGGAATACCCAGAGAAAGGAAGAGTTCATCAAACTGATTTAGAGCCAAATAAACCAAAAAACAAAAAATGTACTGATTCTGACACACTTTACAAATGAACTTTCTTAAGGTTTCTCAGAAAAAAAGAAAAAGACAATACTTGAGCTGTGAATTTAGTGCAAATTTGTCCTGCTTCTCCCTGGACACTCCGAACCTCTCAGCGACGTTCTCCGACGTGATGCTGCAGAGAAGACAGGCGTTCCAGTTAGAACCTCAAACAGGAGGCTGAACCAGGACCAGATGGAGTCTTTTTTTTTCTCCACAGTTCAGCAACTCTACATCTGTGGGTTCTGGTTGTTTTCAGTTTTCCCCAGTGTTCTAATCTTCATTTTTCTGTATGAGCTAGTTGTACTGTAAACCTGCAGTGTCTCACCCCATTGGGATAAGGCAGTCCCTGGCCTTGTCGTTATCCGCCAGTCTGGAGCTCAGATCTCCTGGATTCCCGATGGACCGAAGCGACATGCTCTCCACTCTAAAAGAAACGGGAGGAGCTTAGATCTTTGGGTATCAGTAAATTATAAAACTCTTCCGTACTCAAAGAGCCAAAATTTAAAAAATATTTAAAATCAGGTTCTTGTTAAAAATCTGAAGAACTGTAGAATCTCACCCGCAGGCGAGGCCCAGATCGATGGATCCACTCCTGATGGCTCCTGAGCAAACAGAACCACCCAGGTCAGCTTGAAGGAAAACAGCCTATTTGTCTAAAAACCGGGTCACCGGTTCTACTGGAACTGGCTGAGAATTTAGTGATTGCTCGTATAGTAGTATTTCTGTCTAAAAAAATATTTTCTCTTAAAATTTCCTGAATGAATCGCTTAAAAACAGGAAATTCATGTGAAGCAGGAGCTCCACCTGCAAACTGCATCATTAAAACAGCAGCATTTGTTCTGGATGTTTTCCATCCATAGAGCTGGAAACAGGGAAACTTCTGTAAACCTGTGTTTTGCTCTTTACATCTAGGCCTACTATATCTGGTTTCTCTCCGTCCTTCTGACTTCGAACGTCTGTTCATTAAAGAAAATGAAAAAAAAAAAAAACAGAGAAAAGTTCCAAATAGGATGCAGAGGGGAGGAGGAGTTACCTGCGATGTTGAAGAGCGCCTGTAGGCCGGAGGAGCACTGTCTGTTCACCGTGTAAACAGGAACCGTCTCTGGAAAACCGCTGAAAGTAGAAGAGAGCCATTAGAACCTCTGAATCTGAGACATCTCATTCCCTTTGCACAGGGGTGGAGCTAGATAGGGGGCCAGGGGTGACCATGGCCACCCTTAGCCAATCATTGGCCACCCCTGTGGCAACACAAAACAGACCCCCGATCCTGAGCGGAGCCTGACCTGAGGAAGTGTGCCACCCGGACCATCAGAGCTCCAGCTCCAGGCTGCAGCACGTTACCTGCACACAGAAGCCCCACAATCATCAATTTCAGGAGACCAGCATGGGTTGGTTAATATAATGCTAATCTGAGAGATTTTCTTTACTCAGCATGAGGCCAAAAACCTAAAAAAGAGTCAGCTCACCCACACAGACGTCACCCAACTGATCAGGAGACAGTCCAACATCTGTGAGCACAGCTGTCATCACAGCGCTCAGCAGCTCGTCAGGGGTGGTGTCCTGCAGGAAGAAAACATCAGAAAACAATGGAAAAAAAAAACAAACAAAAAAAACATTCTTCAGATTTAGTTTTAAGATTAATTGCTTCACACGATTACAGGGATTTCAATCCCAGCAGGTTTCTAAAAACCCTTCACCTTTGGTCCATAGGGTGAACTTTAACCTAGTTAGTATCAAGACTAAATCTACATGCAAAGGTTCTGACTTACCTGTAAAATAATCAACTGGATCCATATTTCTTCAGTTTTTTGTTTGTTTTAGAATAAAAAATTGTTTTACAGTCAGAATTAAATAAATTAGGAGCTCTAATCTGTCAGACTGGGGCCAAACATCCAGCTAGTGGGCGGGGCTTTAGAGCAGCAGGGGGCGTGGCTATCTGTCAAACTGTCAGAACTGCATGTTTAATGGGTGAGGCTTTATTTTACTTTCTTCTTCCTTCTGTTATTGTTTTTTCCCTCAGAAAGTAATACCTTGAAGCTTCCTCTTTTAGCCTTTCCGATCGCGGTCCTCCGTCCGTGGACCACCACCACTTCTTCCCCGGAACTGGGCACCGAGGAGCCGCACTCAGTGCTCCGTAAGACCCGGACATGCTCCGAGGAGCCGCCGGGAAACAAGTGTCCGGAGATCACCTTCAGCCTGTTCATAATGCTGCTTCTGTTTTCCTAAGAGCAGCTTTGAGACAGGTTGTCTGGACTTTGGACCGTCAGCTGTCTTCTTCTGCGTGGAACAGATTGGGCTCAACAACTTCCCCTAGTGGACTGGGGGGTGAATTACTTATGAGAGCTTTATTGTTTCAGCTAATTGACCACATACTAATGGACGTGAGGAAATATTTTAAAACAATAGAACCTAACTGTTAGTTTAGCAAAGAGTGCAGAAACAATCCTTTATTCTGGAACAGCTGTAAAACAAAAACATTGTGGAAATGATGTAATAACTTTATCATTTGTGATGTTGATCCAGATTTGTCCAAAGGTATGAGAATTATTGTTGGGTTTCATGGAAAGAATACTAATGCAAGCAGGTTTATTATATTTGGCAAAATTCATATTCACAAATGCAAATATTCATCATCACCCTTTTTTTTTTTTTTTTACATTTTTAATTAAAGAAATAAACTATATCTAACATTTCCAGCAGTACAAACAAAAAAGCTGTGAGCAGATATGAATGCTCTAGCTCTGCATTTTTTGTTTTTCTGTATACAAAGATTTGTTCTTTCTTAATTTAAGAGAGTGTCTGGATTCTCAAATCCCCATTACTAAGAGGTAGAGCCGTTTTTTCGGTTCAATTTGCATGTTTTCTAGGCCATAACAAGGTGTTTAATGGGCTATTCTATAAAGCCTGGAATTCAACGCTGATCCAAATATTTTGAACTAAGAAAGCTTAAAGCTTCCAGGATGGGAAGGGAAAAGTCTTCAAACTTGGAAAACAAAATCCTGTAAGAAGGTGTATACTTTGACATGTCTGGTTGGGACCTCAGATTAAAGTGGATAAAAGAGAGAAATCAAATTATCCTCCAGGAACAATACAGGAACATGTTGGTTATAATGTTTAAACTGTGGCTCAAAAATCAAACCGCTTGGCTCCTTTTTCAAGAAACTGTCCTGATCCCAGAAAAAAAAAAAAAAAAGTACAAAACCAATGTGTTTAGGAGAAGAAAAGCAATAATCTGCTTCTACTCATTAAATCAATTCAGTTAAATCCCACTTTGTAGGTTCTGAGGGAAAATATTTGTTGTGATGGATCTGCTGTAGGGGTCTTTCCCTCAGCCTGATGAATGTCCATCAGATTATAATCTTAAGAATAATTCTTAGTAAAATTATCTCCAGAGGTTATAAAGCAGTGGGGTCGAAAAATGCATGCCATGGGAGCAAAAATGTGTTTGTTTAAAAGGAAAAACGATAAATTATAAAATTGTTGATGAAGTTCTAAAAACTATTGTGATTTTTCTACATATTTGTAGCTCCTGAATGGGAAACTATGCATGCAATATTTAAATAAAACAAGCAAAGCCGTTTGATTTAAAGGTCAATAAATCAATACATATTTGAAACATATAGTCTTGCATCTATATCTGATTGAATACAAAATTAATTTTATCATTTAATTTAATGGAAGCAACAAATGCAGGATATAGGTATTAAAATGTTTACATTGTATGAAGCCTTACATTTTATAAATTAAATTCTTAACTGGTTTTTAAAGGCCTCGTGTCAGTGAAGAAATGCACTCTGACGTTTTATTAACCTGAATCGGCATTTTCCGCGTTGGAGGAAAATGTTTTCCTCTACAAATGGCAGATTGGAAATTTATTGATTCCTATTTCTCCAGCTGAACACATCCAAGGCTCTTATCAATAGAGATAAGGTAGGGATATGGAGCAAAGATTTTCCTCATTAGATTTTATTGTTATTATAAAGGTTTTATACATATATATATATATACATTTTTACTATCTTGATAGTCAATCTGTCATTATCTGCGTACCACAGGCATCTAAGCCTCAATCATAAATACCGCTCTAGAAGAATGAACCCTTTTTAAACAATCTTCAGTATTGTGACTTTTAGCACTAAACTGCAGATGATCATATTGTTTCTATCTTAGAAAGATCTGTCTGGAACAAATAGTGGACAAAAAATAAAAATTTAATTCAGCCATTCTTTTGGGAGTTTTCTTCCTTTATCAATCAAAATTCTTTTCACGACAATTTTATTACTAGAACAATAAACGATTTGATAAATGTTCACCCCTATTGCAGAGTTTCTTTAACCTAGCCTGATTTCGTTAAGATTTCTTGTCTTAAAAAAAAAAAAAAGAGAGAACGATGTTTTTAGTGAGTTGAAAGATTTATTTTTTTGTTTATCACAACATCTGGTTGATAAGGCCGCTGACCTGCATCACATTCAGGTTAAAACTAAACTAAATTAACATATTTTCCTGTAAATCAGATATAAAACAGTTTAACTTCGGATTTTTAAGTGATTAAAAGAACAAGAGCATCAGTACATAAAACACCAACAAACAAACAAACAAACAAACAAACAGATGATTACTTCAGGTACAAAGATGATTAAAGAAAGAAAAAGATTGAGACGATCACAGAGCACCACGGCAGCTTCATACAAACCTAAGAAACGTCATTAGTCTGCTTCAACATGTGAACAGGTAACACACAAGGCAAAACCTCAGACACCTTCAAAGCTGCTTCTGGGTCCTTCAGTCTGCAGCAGAACCGTTTCCACACTCAGCGATTCTTTTAAGGCAACAAGCTGGAAACCTGCTGCAGGGATCAGCAGCGGGGCATCCTGTTCCAGCTGCATTTCCCTTCGAAAAGGGGGAGTCACTTCAGGATACTGCAGGAAATCTCTTTTTGTTATAAAAAAACATTTATTTATTTTTTTGTAAACTAAGTGGAGTGATTTTCTGTTAAGGAAGGTTTATTATAACAGAATCCGTCAAACAGGAACTATGGAACCTTCCAGATGTTCCATTAGCTGGATTTAAAGATTGTTTGTGCAAAAGTTAGCAGAATTTATTTAGAGTTAACTTTTTAGCCTTAGAGTCATAAAACAGCAGAGATCTGGGAATAGCTGAGGGGATGAATACCATAATAACCAGGGTTCCCAATAAGCATCAAGAGAATTCTGGATGTTTCTGCAGGTAAATTGGGTCTGGATGATCAGATTGGATCACTATGGTCTTGATCAGAGAGGATTCCTCCTAAACGCTAACATAGACCAGGAGAAAGGTTGGAATACCATCTGAAGATGCTGGCATATTGCTCTGTTGAAAGGAGTCAGGTCAGTTTTCCTAAGGAGTTTAAACCATTAAAATGATCCATGGATCAGCTGGGAGATTGTAGACGTTCCCTCCTGTCAGGAAAACAGTCAAAGTTCTGATCTAACGGTTTCAGGATCCATCTAATCTCCTTTGGCTCAAACAGATCCCCTAAAAAGTTCTTATAGTGATTATCTTCTTCATTTTACAGCAGATATATATACCCAGCTGGTTTTCTGACCAGGCTGCTGGTTTAACTGGGATTTCTGACTCACTCAAAGCGAACCAGGTGAAAATGACTGATCCGGATTCTCTGAACTTATCTGAGGAACCACAGGGCATACAAAGCAGGAGGGGCGTGTCTATTAAGGCACTTAAAGATCAGAGGGAAATGTTCAAGGTGAATTCTTCTGAAAGTTCCAGGTTCTGGTTCTTTTCTTCAGATGATTCTTTTCCTTCAGGTTAGTGTCTGCAGGCTGTTTAGGAATCTATAAATATATCTGATTCAAGCTAAAACCGTAAACTTTGGTGAGTTTTTCTGTTAGTGTATTCATCCACCAGCTGAAATAGTCCCACGCACGGGACATCCTGCTGCTAGTTAAGATCTAGAGGTTTTCTCCTCTTCTTCATCTACTTACAAGCAGAAGCATCAGACCCTGGAGAGCAGCGTAGGCCTCAGGTTGGATCCTGTTCTTTGAGTCTCTGAGAAACTGCAGGAATCTTTTTTTCAGTCTCAGGCGTAGAAGATCAGTTCTGGGATCTGACCACCCTGCACCCCGGTTCCGTTGGTGCTGTCCGAGGAGCACTGGAACTGGAAGGTCACCTTCCCGCACTGCACCTCCGTCATGCCCTCCTGTCCAAAGTAGCTGAGCTCGTTTCCGTCCAGCACCACGCTGGCTGTGTAGAAGGTGTCGGGCTCAATCTGCACCGGGTAGTCGAACCAGACTGGGAAAGTGCTGCTGGATCCGTCAGAGAAGTACTTGATGATTCTCTGCGCCATGGGCACGCCCTGCCGCTTCAGCTCGATCTTTGCGCTGTACTCTGCCGACCCGCAGCTGGACCCGTACAGACCGAACCCGGCGATGAAGACGCGCTTGTCCACAGCGAACTGGATGCTGTCGCAGCGGCCGCGGTACCGCCACTGGTTGCTGCGGTATGCACAGGACTGGAAGCGGTGGCAGCGCTGCGGAGACAGGCCTTTCCTGGGCTTGGTGCAGAACAGCAGATCGGGTTTCTTGGACGCCGTGTACCACAGAAAGATGTCGTTGGTCTCATTGAGTGTCAACACTCCAGATTGTGCCGCTCCATTGGCGAAGTCCTCTAGCGCCATGGTGGGGACCCGGATCAGGTAGATGGCCTTCCCCAGAACCAGCCGCTTGTTCTCGATAGTGGGGACCAGGTCCCGTCTCTGGCACTCCGCCTCGGCCCAGTTCAGCGCAGCTTCAAACACCACCATCTCCTTGGCGTTCAGCGTCTCCCGCTTCAGGATGCTCTCCAGCGTCAGGACGTCGATGTCGCAGAATCCCTCAGAGCGCAGCGCCAGCTCGGCCTGCGCGTCAATCACCTCCCAGCAGCGCTGCGTCAGGTCGGGCTCCTCGAACAGGCAGCTCTGTGACAGCAGCACGCATGCGTTCTTAGCGCTGAGGCTCGTCTCTAGGAAGTTGACACAGGCCCGCGCCAGGTGAGGAACGATGTACTTCTTAGCAGCATAGAGGGTGGCGAGCACCGTGTCGGCGCAGAGGTCAATCTCATCGCAGTAGATGTACCTGCAGAGGAAGAAACAGGTTTAACAAAAGCTTCTGGCAGCGTTTCTATACACACTCCAATGGGTCATTTTCATCTTCCCCCAGACATAGATTCTACTTCAGATGCAGAACCTTTTATCTTCCTGGGGCTTTTTGAAGGGGGTGCAAATGGCAACATAGCCTGCATCGCTTTGTTTAACCAGCGGCGACAGTAACCGATGAAGCTGAGAGAAAAAAAAAGATTTAAAGAGAAAAAAAAACACCTCAAAGCTTCACCTGATTCATCAGTTTATCTCTGCTTAAATTTCCTGTCAGGCCACAGCGGTTGATGAATCAAACTCCCCTTCCCATCATAACCTTTACAGCGAGCAGTCAATTGATCATTTCCTGTTATTTTCACAACAAGCAGCTTTAAGATGCTTTGAAGGAGATGCAAAAAGGTACACCTTTAAAATAATCTGTGTGGTAAATTCATACAGATTATAATCCTAATTTTAAATATAAAAGAAAAAAATATATAATAAACTGTTTCACTGCAGTTTAAATAGAGCCTCCCAACAATAAGAAAATATTTTTCCGGTCTCACCATTGTCAACTCGACTGTCTCCAGCTTCTACTTGATATAGATATTTGATTATCATTATAGAGTTGCAGTATTAACTCCTTTTAAAAGTGGGAAGACTTCAATTAAAGTTGGAAGTAGAACATTTAATATTTTTTTTTTCTGTATTAGGTATTATGAAGTAATAAAGACAAAGATGGAGGTTGTCAAGTTAAATATCAAATAACTAAAGTGCATATCTCTAAAGTTCGTAATCATAACACTGATGCCCTGTATAAGAAGGGCCAGATCTGCATCCACCTCCCGAGGAGGCTGAGATCCTTTGGAGTGAGCAGGCCCCTACTTATAACCATCTATGACTCTATGGTGGCATCAGCTCCCCTCTATGCTGTTGTCTGCTGGGCCCCTGGCAACACAGAGCAGGACTGAGAGAGACTGAACAAGCTAGTGAGAAAGGCTGCTTCTATCCTAGGCTGCACTCTGGACTCAGTGGAGGAAGAGAGGAGGGTGCTGTTCAAATTTACATCCATCATGGAAAACACCTTCCACCATCTGTGCCAGACTGCAGAGGAGCTGAGCAGCTCCTTTAGTGATACATTCCTCCAGATGCATATAACCTGAGAGACTTTAAATCGCAGGGCCTTCAGTGGAAAAGGGGATAAAGAAAAAGGTTAAGTCTCTAGAATCCAGATGGAGAAACCAAAGCTCCACCTACTTCAACATGGCAAGAAAGGAGGGCGGCTCAACGTCTGGGATCCGGATCTCCTCCTTGTCCTCGGCCAGCTCACCGTAGAACATGGCATGGAAGACGGAGCTCCCCACCGCCAGGACGTACTGCCAGAGAGAAAACATCAGTCAGAACCAAACAGCAGCGTCATCACAGAACCTCTGCATGAACAGTGACTAAAGCTTTCCCTGATTTAAAGTAGACTCAATCAACCTAAAAAGCAGATATATGCGTCAATGAAGGACATTAGAAATGGAGTCTGATTTACAGCATCATGGGAGCAGACGCTGTGGAGGTCTGGCTTCATTTTCCTGATAGAAACCAGAACAGATGTTCCTTCATTAAAAAAATAAATAAAAATGCAAAAGAAAGGACGTTTTGCACGGCTTCTGAATCCAAGAGAAGAAATGACAAAATGTCTAGTTTTTGCATCGTTGCCTGTAACCGTTAGCTGATTTGACTATGGCTACGTTCACACTGCAGCCTGAAGTGACCCAAATTGGATTTTTTGTGCAACATGCGACCTGGATCTGATCTTTTCATGGCGGTCAGAACAACACAGATCAAATTTTTCCCAATGCGACCCAGGCCACTTCGCTATGTGGTCCTGAATCAGATATGAATCTGATCTTTTCAAATGCGACTTGTGTCTGAACGGCCAGGTCGGATTCATCCGACCTGAACGCCATTAATACCTGACAAAGGTCACTATTCTGCATCTTGCTACGCAGAAGCAGGAAGAAAAACAACAACCATGGCGGGAGATAATGCGGAGAGCAGTCTTTATTTTAACTATCTTGAAGAGATTGAGTCTTTGTGGTTGGGAGAGATTGCTATTCGCTACCATCCATGTTTACTTCCGTGATCACAGCGCGCGCTGGCCTGTGACGTCATCCTCTACTGCACTTGCGGGATACTTAGGTTGTATGAATGCAGTTCCCACAGGAGAACGTATACAAGTCGCATATATTTAGAAATGTGAACTGCAGTGCAAAACAAAAGATCAGATCAGAGCTTATCAAGGGAAAATCTTTTCTTTAAGTCTTATTCTGACCTCTAGCTTGATTAAGCCACAAATCTAAAATCATGAGGTTAGTAGTTTTGCCTCTGCATAAATTGCAAATCACAGTGAAAAAAAAAAGTGAGCGCTGATTAGAAGCAAGTTAAAAAGAAAACAACTTCATATTGTTTAGATATTTAATGTGGATGGATCTTTCTGAACCCTGTAAAAAAGATCCTTTAATTTAAGACATTATAGCACTTTTTTCAGGCTGCAAGAGCCGGCTTCTAAATCCGGTTGACTCAGAGAGGATCTGTGGGGGGAATCTACCTTGTGTCCGGGGACTCTCTGTGTCCCACCAGGTGGTCCAACCACAAAGTGAACATCTGCCATCATTTCATTGTTGAACATGACTGAATTCCTACAGAGAGAAACAGACAGGAAACGTTAATGTCAGATTATGCCAACAGTGTTTCTTCTAATTAATCCGAAGAAACGGGTTACTTTATCAGCTTCATTAGAGAGCAGCAAAGATGAGACTCAAAGGTCGAAATCACACAATATCTAATAAAGAAAAATTAAAGAATAAAAAATGAGGAAACATCCTTTCAAACAGGGAACTTAAATAAACTCAGACTCAGGTTTTTCATTTCAACCAAATCTATCTTTCCTGTTTTCTTTACAGTTTAGAGGAGTGGATCTCTAGAATCTATCACTCATTAGCCTCTGGTTACAAGTCTGGATACAAAAAAAAAAATCATTTCAATTTGAAAGGATAACTGTCATAATTTAAGGAGTTACTGTGAAAGAAAACGAGATAGTAGATCCTAATAGGTATTATACCATAACAAAAAAAGACCTAAGCTTTAAAAACTTTTCAATAATTTATAGATAAGCTTAAAAAAAGCAGCATACAACATCTTTCTTCTCATGTATTAGGCGGAGATGAAGCAGAAAAGTTGTCCTAAATGTCCTCAGTCCGGTGGCCAGAGAACAACCCTAACTCACCAACCCTCCACCGCCGTGCATATAAGCTGATAATGACGAGTATGTGATGCTTTTCCTTTTTTGGATTTTCTCCGCACATAGTTTTGTACAATATTGTCAAACATCTCATCTCAGCTTAATTCAGCTGCAGATTTGCTTTGTAGTTCAAAATGAATGGGTTTAATCATCAATAACATCTCAGATTAAAGGTAAGGATCTATGTTGCGGGAAATGGCAGCCAAGTGGTTAGGGCATAGGGCTTGGAATCCTGAGGTTGTGAATTTGAAACCCACTCCCACAGACTGCCCCTCTTTCTCTCTGAGCAAGACCCTGATTGCTCCCGGGCGCAGCAAAGTAGCAGCCCACTGCTCCCCAAGGGGATGGGTTAAAATACAGAAAGTTCATGTCTCCATTGTGAAATCAATAAAGTTCAATTTGTTGTGTTGTGTGACCATGAAAAATGCTGTTTATTAATTTAAAAAAATTATCTGGCAGGAAGATCTTGATACAGAAATTGACGAGGCTGTGCAGGAAAATATTTCAAATGTGGGAGGGGCTACAAGGGATGCAAGAAATAAACTTATTCTCCACAAAATTGTATATAGGTATTATTTTTACACCAAGTAAGATATGCCGAATGGGTCTAATAAAAGATAACAAATGTCTAAAGTGTAATAAAGAGGTGGGCACCCTTTTACTATGGGACTGCCCCTTGATAATGCCCTTTTAAAGGCAGTTTAGAAAGAATTGGGGACTGGCTCAGTCAACCTTTACCAGAGTCTGCACAATTCTGCCTTTTATGGGGTACTTTAAAAGCTGAAGGTAGACTAATGATGACAGGTTTTCTGATAGCAGCTAGAATCATTCTTCGTAAATGGAAGAGCCCACATAGACAGGAAATTAAGGAATGGCTTTAACTCATGTGAGAGACAGCAGCTTTTGAAGTCATGATTTCAAGGGTGCAGAAGGAGCCGAGTAAAGCTAGCCAAGCATGGGTGTATGTTGATTACAGTGTTGGTATCAATCCTTAAGGGATGTTGGGTGTGTTGTATACTGTGTGTATATGTATGTACATGAATATGTTTTGGAATAGATTATCATCATCATAAAAGCAAAATAATAAGAAAAAAAATTTATTTATTTAACTGCAGATGATTTCTCAAAGAGGCTGTGTAGCCTCATGGAAGGGACAAAAACAAAATTAAACATTTATATATATTCACTACAGTTCTGGTATATTCTCATTGCTTCTAAAAAAAAAAAGCAATGTGATTTAGCTAAAGTTGTATCAGCAGCTCCAAACTACAAAGGCAGGAAATGGAAAATTAGGCTAAAATTTGGTTAAAAGATAGAAAATCAATGCAAAATCTGAACAGCAGGACCAACCTCTTCCTACCAAAATAAAAACTGCGTTAAACTTGAGTTAGTGAAAAGTTAAGGTTTAGTTCAGGGTTGTCCTTGAGGGCCAGTGTCCTTGCAGGTTTGATGAGATTCCAGTAAAAGCACATTTATCAGCCACCAATGAGCTGCAGCAGAGAAATGTCTAAACATGCAGAAAACTGGCCACGGGTTTTATGCATATTGAGTATAAACCTCAGATTAACACTAAAATCATTGTAGAAACTTCTAACTCTGTTATGCATTTTTTTCTCTTTGTAACATAAGCTACACAGCAGAAGGAGGGGGTGATTTTCTGTAAGGAAAAAAAAGAAGAAAAAAAAAAAAAAGAGTGTCGTGCTCTCACCTCTCCCGGATGGTGGGGTACAGGCCCTGCCAGCTGCAGCAGCCCGGTGCCAGGTTGTTGTTGTTGCTCAGGTTCTGCTGCAGGATGGAGGCGGAGGAGCTGCTACTGCTGCTGCTTGAGGCCGAAGACACCAGCTTCTGGGTGGGGAACAACTCTGCAGCCATCCTCCTTCAGTCACACCGGAGAACAGCTCATGGCAGCTCCGGGGACCGAACTGAACCCTTGCTTACACTGCGAGAAACTTCACAACCAGACAGAACCGGGCTCCATAAGAAAATAAGGAAAACCCACCGGACTTTAGCTTTAAACTAGCATTAGCCACATTAGCCTCCCGTTGACCAACCCTGGCAGCAGCTGCCTCTCCGAGGATGTCATTAGCTGACGTAAGCAGAATCAAAGCAGTTCCGCAAGGACCCACTCGGATCGCAAACAAACTGTGACTTTTACATAGAAATATTAGAGACTGAGCAGAATTTAGCTGCACGGCTTTGTTTACTAGGACGCCACAGCAGCGGAAACAGCCAATCAGAGACGAACTCTTCAGTTTAGCTAAAGACGCGTTACTGCCACCTACTGGAATAGTTTGTTAAAACATTTTCTTCTTCTTCTTTTATAATATTTTTGGCGGTTGGCAAAAAACGTTAGGTGAGCATTACCGCCACATATTGTTAAGGAGTGTGGACTACATGGCTAAATAAATAAATAAATAAATAAATAAATAAATAAATAAATAAATAAATAAATAAATAAATAAATAAATAAACTATATCCTGTTATACAAATGAATGTTTCAGAAACTCAAATATAACCTGATATCCTCTGATTCCTTTTGCAGTAAATCAACAATGTCAAGTTTCGTTTTCATATTACTAAGTTTTCTAATTAACTTGTTTCTCTGAATCAAATATAACATGTTTCACTGTTTCATCTTTACCTGCACATTTACCTGTCTGATGTTTCCCTATTAAAAATATTTTTATAAATTCTAAGTTGTGAAATAATTATCTCTACTCTCCTGTTCCTTTCTGTTCTTCTTATTTGTCCAATTCTCTTTTGGATTTTATAGAAACACCTTCCTTTCTTTTCTTCTTCCCATAACTTTTGCCACCTCTCTTTTGTTTTTTGTTTAATTATACCCTTTATTTCTGTTATACTAAAACTTAAAACATTTTTCTTCTTCATAGAGATTATTTGGCTGTTGGCAAAAATACCAAAGAAGTGCATTACCGCTACCTATCAGTATGGAGTGACTTTAATTTTTAATTTCCTGATATCCTCAAATTCTATTAAACAAATGTATTTGTTTATTAAAAAAAAAAGAATCAACATGTTTATAATTTTAGTGTGTACATCTTTATGCAAAAATGTTTAACATCATTTTTCCTGCATATTTTCTAAATCTGTCTTCTTGTTTTTATTATTATTACTATTTTATATCACCAACATCCTTAAATAACATTTCCTATTGTTTCCATTTCTTCACAATATCAAAATCTTCCTGTATAATGTTTATTTATTGCAAATATTCTGTCATTAGGTCCTTTGCGCCCAAACCTAATTTCATCTTCTCTCCTGTTTCTCCCTTATGTACTTATTTGTACTTTTTTTTAAAAATAAAATCTTTTTTCCTTCATTCCTTTTTGTTGGTCCACTTTTCCTCTTTTTGGTTTAGCTACTCTTCTTTTTTTTTGCTTGTACTAATTCTCAGTGTCAAAGTACTTAACAACAGTACTTTCGTGAAAGTATTGATACTCATAGTCAAATCCCACTCAACAACAAGTAAAGGTAATTAGTCAATAATCTACTCAAGATAGTAGTAGTAAGAAGTACTACGGTACTCACTCTTGAAAACCCTTTAGTATTCAAAAGTACATGCATTTTAAAGGACTTTACCACCTGATGTGTTGATGCATAGAACCACATACTACAGATTGTACACCACCTGTAAAGAACTTTAGCATAAAATTGCCAAATCAAATATAAGGACAGCCATTTTGATCTTTACTCATTAAAAACACACTAAACAGTAAATAGGAGAGTCTTGATTCTCCTTACACTTTCATAATGGAATAGAGGTTCAAGGTTTAATCTATTCTCACAAAGAAACTACAACTCTGATTTGAGAACTCATCCTACTGAACAACTTGGCCAAATGGCAACAACTAACACTTTAATGACATTTATAAAATATTAATATCTGTCCTGAGTTTTCCCCATATGTGGAATGTCATGCAAATTAATAAAACAGTGGTGTCCTAAGGACTGGTATCTTGTATGTTGAAAAGTATTTCAAGAAAGAAAAACAGCAACAACCAAATTAAAAAGGCTAATCTGAGAAATAAGGAACAAATAACTAGCAGCTTCCTAAAAATGTAGTGGAGTAGAAAGTGCTATATTTGACTTAAGAATGTAGTGAAGTGAAGGTTATAAGTACCCCCCCACCCCCCAATAAAATTACTAAAACATTTTTTAAAAACAATACACTGGACTTTGTTTCCAAGTTGTAAGACGTTTCGCTTTCCATCCAGGAAGCCTTTTTCAATTAAAAATGTCAGAAATAGCGCCGAGTTTGAGGCTTTGTTTTGGCCTAGAAAACACGCAAATTGAACCGCACGATATTTTGGATGTTTAGTTTTCCATATTGAAGTGTATAGGAAATCCACTCACACAGACCAATATCTTCTTTTGACTCACAACAACCACTGGAACTCAAACTTTCAGTCATCAGAACCTTACAACGTCGCGCTAAGCATATCCCTACAAAAACAGAAGGGAAGCACAAAGAACAGAAACACATCAAAGATGCTCTTTAAACCAGTGAATACCCAAACTGGGCGTTTGTCAAATCAGCAAGGAAATCAAAAAGACACACAGCAGAACAGAACGGTGAGAAGATTGGAAGGAAAAACATCTCCATCCCATATGTTGCTTGAGTCTCTGAAAAACTCAAGAGGATTTTCTCTAAACACAAAATCCCAGCACTTTTCAAACCTAACAAGACCCTTAGACAGAGGCTAGTAGTGCATCCTAAGGACAAAAACCCCAGACCTGTGATGAGGAGAGTGGTGTATGCAGTTCAATGCAGTAAGGAATGCTCTGATCTTTATATTGGAGAAACCAAACAACCTCTCCACAGACGCATGACCCAACACAGAAGAGTGACCTCCTTGGGACAAGACTCTGCAGCATATCTACACCTCATGAACAAAGGACTTTATTTTGAGGGCCAGAATGTTTACATTTTGAACAAAGAAAATAGTTGGTTTGAGAGGGATGTGATGGAAGCCATTTATGTCAAGAAAGAAAACCTAACCTTAAACAGAAGGGGGGGACTCAGATTTCACCTTTCAAAAACCTAAAATGCAGCAATTTTCTCGATCCCGTCCTGATAGCCCCTGCCTCTGTTCAGGACGGCGGAGGCCCTTGCCTACTCAGCCAGGCCAACAATTCCCTTTAATGACTGAGCTATCGACAGTTAGATGGGTATGGGGCAAAGAGCTGGACCCCTTCGTCCGTTTTATTTGCATGTTTTCTAAACAAAAACAAGGATTATTTGTATAAAACCTCAAACTCAACGCTATTTCTGACATTTTGATTTGAAAAAGCTTCCAGGATGGGAAGCGAAACGTCTTCAAAATTTGAAACAAAGTCCAGTGGATTGTTTTTTTTCTCTTTTTTTGGAATAACTATGACCTGGATGACTGAGAATCTTCATCAGCATACTCAAGTAAAGTAAAGATGCTTAAAAAAGTACTTAAGTACAGTAATCAAGTAAATCTACTTTGTCACTTTCCATTGCTAATTCCAGAACTAATCTCCCCTGTTTATTGCCCTTTTGCCCACCCTCTCCAATCTGTGCTGGAGCTGGTCTGCTTTCGGAATGACTTTTCTGTACATGAATCAGAACATATTATTGCTTAATTGTTTTATTTTCTCTATCCCCCAAATTAATAATAAAAAAAAATGGCTAACATTTCTGTGTATACACAGACAAGCCTTTATAGATTTTATTTACTTGTACTTTTTGAACTTCAGGTACCGTACTATAAATACTATTTCTATTTTTCGAACATCCTCTTTGTTTAAATTAAAGGTCAACTCTTCTTCTGCTGGCGTGATTTTTTTTCAAACACCTAAGATTAGTAAGAGAATCAAATATGTGCACAGTAACCTTCTGGAACTCTTGTTACATGAATACAATGGGTTAGTGCAATGCGCCTGTCCTCTGAGAAGGTTACAAGTACCTCGTTCAATCCCCACAGCCTGCACTCTGGGTTCCTGAGCAAGATCCTTAACCCCAAAATGCTCTATGGGCGCCACACAATGGCAGCCCACTGCTCCCCAAGGAGATGGGTCAAAATGCAGAGAGTGAGTTTTGTTGTTCTTTGTAATGACAATAAAAAGGCTGGAAAAAAAACAAGTAAAACTGAGGCAAGCAGTTGCTGTTAGGAACCAGCTCCTGTAGCCATGCTGTTTAATGATTGGACATGAATTGTTTTCAGTGATGGCGACATTGATGAAGAAAGGAAAAAAATCTTTTCTAGAAAAGCCCATGCACGCAATGAATGAAAAACATTTTTATTTTGACATTTTCAGTCAAAATGAAAAACTAACGGGATGGGAAGGACTTCAAATTCCCTCCAATAACATTTCTAAAGGTTAGTGGCTCTGAAATAACATTAGCTTAATCAATCTCAGTCAAAGAGATTTTCTTCCTAAACACATACCTGTTTACTGTTTTCAGGGGACCCTGGAATCCAAACATATGGATGCTCTGCAGAAGTCCAGGTGAGCGTTTCTACCATTGCACGGCTTTCTGTCTCTACGTGCTGCATGTTTGACTTACAGGAGAACGAGCTGCTGAAGGCCTCTGGGCTGCTTGACTTTCCTCTCTGAGCTATTGAACCGATCCTAAAGAAGATGCATCTGACCAGAATAAGGGACAACCAAACATAAAGCACCATATTTCAGTTTTTATTCTCATTAAAATAAGTTTAGAATTTACACAGAAAAAAAAAACTTCTATGGTTTGGACACAGTCCTCTGATCCAAAATCATTCCCTGTGAAAACATTATTACAGAACCAAATATACAATTAACACCATGAGTCAGCGATCTAAAGTCTCCTTTATTTTTAGTGATCCATGAGCCTCGCATTGAGAAGGAAGGGAGGAAAGCAAGGTTTGTGTGCAAGGAGGCAACAGCAGGTAAACTGTACAAGGTCAAGAAGGAATTACAGGCAGGCTGAGCCAGAGGAAGGTCTGAATATTAGCTGAATATTACAGAGATGGGTACCAGTTTAACCCTCTCTGCAGCTCTGAGGTTGGAACGATCCCAGAGCTGGATCAATCCAGAGGTCCAGAATATGACGTAACCGGTTACTGGTCAACAACACTGTCAAGGATATTAAGATCTGATACTTAGGAGAGCTATAAAGATGATTGCCAAATTTAAAGATTATCCTTTGACACAGAAACCCATCAAAGACAGAACCTGTCACCCTGAGTGAACTTCACGGTGGACAGAAACTACCCTTTGGGGAAGGATTTGGAAAGGATCAACAAAATGAAAAAACAGCAGAGATCCCAGTTTCTACTGAAAATATTCAATCAACACCTCATATGTGTCATCATTTTGAGTTTGCCACCAAAGGTTTCAGGATTCTGCCAGGGTTTCCATCCTGAAGAGGCTGAAAAAAAATTGGGATTCACCTTCCTGATTTTCTGTCTGGATAAAAAAAAAAAAAAAAATCAGAATAAAAACAAAAGCAGCAGAGTTTTTTTCCCTTCTTTTATTTTTCTCACTTAAGTGCCCCAAAGCTCTCAATATTTTACAGGCAAAGTGGTTGTTTTATAATTTTTTTTCTCCTACATAAATTGGAACATTTTATATTTTAGAGCATTTAAGCATTTAAACAAACTGACTAACTTCGGACTTAAAAATCCAAACAGGGAGGTTCTGCTATTTTATCCTGTGTTTCATAAACTGGGTCAAAAGACAAAAAAGGTATCGCTCCAGTTTTTAGCACTTTTTGCAAACAGAGTGAAGAAAGAAAAGTATTTTTATATGTAACATTGCCAAGAGTCAGGAAGCCATAGATGCTGTACAGAGCCAGACGGTAGTTAGCAACTCCACACCGAAGTTAAAAAACCTTGAAGTAGATTCAAGCTCTGTGTGGTCTGACCAAATGATCAGATGTTAGGTTTGAATTAGTAGGACTATAATGTTTCAAAAAAATACATAAGTGAAAAAGAAAATATAAACAGTGAGTTTGGAAATGTTTGAAACCAGAATCACAGGACTAATCAGGAGGATGCAGGATGAATAGCACGTTCACAGGAGGTGATACTGTGATTACTTTTACAGTAACAGTATGTCAAGCAGCAACCTTTACGGTCCAAATAAGCACTTCTAATATATCTTCAGCCAGGAACCCTACTAAGCCTTTATTAAGTCTTCTACTAACGCACAAAATCTTTGTTTTACCGTTGATAAGATTTTATTTGGATTTCGGACAAAGTGAAAAATTCATCTTGGACGTACAAACAAAAGTTTGTGGTTTTATGAACAAAATATTTCCAGTTAAATTACGGGGAGGAAATGAGTCAACACAACATATCCAATATTAGTCCTCCTTGTAACTTTACTGTGTATGACACATTTGCATCTCCCTTAATAAAAATAAATATATTATATTTACTATTTTCCCATTTGTTGCAGACATGATAACACTCCACGAGTACAGATTGGCTGAGAAACGCTTAAAGCTGCAGTCTGTAACATTGAGAAGAGAGCAGACTTCGACTGAAAATTTGAAGAAAAACAGGTTTCACGCCACTCCCCCACCCTCTCTGCTTCACTCATGCCCCACCTCCAAGCTCCACCCCTCTCACAGCATCTGTGCGGCTACCGCATGCGACCAGAAGCGTCCAAGCAGCGTATGCGGCATGGAGTGTGAACCGGTAAGAGCGATAACGGGAATCAGCGTGTGTGAGCTGTGATTAACACTCCATCAGACGCTTCTCTGGCTGTGATTGGTTGTTTTGACTCGTACCGAATTATTCTTTCCAGATTGAAATACAGGCAGTATGCGGGACCAATTGAAGCAGTTTTTTCACAGGTTACATATCACATGTACTGCTGTCTGGGCATAGGGACAGTTTTAGCCAATATGACAAAAAAGTGATTTTTAAAAACTTACAGACTTCAGCTTTAATGTGTTGATTTAACCTGCTCCAGAGCATCACTGGTTACCGTGGTAACCTTGCTTGGCATTCTGAGCTGACCTCTGTATTTACCCGTCTGATTTCTGGAAATTCTTCCAGCCTTTGGTCCATGATGGGAATGTGATCCATGTTTTATAGCAGACTTAGATCCGGTTTAAAAAGGATTCCAGATGTTTGTTGAATGTACTACTCGTTTCCTTTAGTTGTCACCTTCCATCCATAGGAACGCTTCTGGGACGACCAGATGGATCAGCTAGGGAAAAGTTCTGGAAGTCTAAATCTAAACAGATTTCAGTTAAAAAATAGGAACATCACCACAGGAAGTACAACTTGGTGAACTGGAAAGTTCAACTTTCCAATTAAGGAAAAACATAAAAATCAAGCTCAAGTTAAAATTTATCTTAAATTACAGTTTCCCACCTGGTAGATAAATAGATTCCCTGTAACACAAACTCTACACACATTTCAATTATTCTTTTTTACACAGCTTGATAAAAGGAAAACCAGAGTTCATCCTAAACAGGAAGCAGCTGCTTCCAAGTAGAAGTCTACTTCCTGAAACATCCCAACAGGAACAAAATCCACTTTTCAAGTAAAACAGAGAATACAAAATGTAAATCTACCTGAACATCCCTTTAAAACCAGCCGCTCAATGTCAGAATACCAACACCAAAATCAATAGTTTAGGTCAGCACACAATCAGAAAGTCTCTTTGAACAGAACCAGCACCTCTCAGGAACCTCTAACCTTTAAAAAAAAAAAAAAGAAAGAAAAAGAAAAAGTAAATAGAAATCTGGGCTCCACTGCAGGATTTCCGCTGCAGCTCTGTCAGGAACTTGTCCAGGCCAGTTAGAACTTGTTAAAAGTCCAGAAGAAATGAGACAACCCACAGAGAAAAATGTCCAACTCTTCAGCAGTTGGAATGAACCTTTAAAACAAAACCTCTGCACAATCTTTAGACAACCAAGACAGTACTGCTAACCGCCAGCAGGGGGCTGAAATCTGAACTGGCACTTTAATTTCTTCAGGTTCTAAAGGAATCTCTGCTCTAAGGAAAAAAGGCACATCATACTGATAAAGAATTCCCAAAAGCAGAAACGCTGCAGAGGTTTTGGGTTTTGAAAAACATTTTTCAGGTTGCTCCTGGTTCCTGGTGGTCTGGTTTCCTGCACTTTTTAGATAAATCTTCGCTTCTGCACACTCTAGTCCAGGTCCAGGTCATTAGCAGGACTCTGATTAACTTGGGGGCATATTGAGTATTGAGGAGGTATGTGGAAGCACAAGCAAACCTAAAAGGTGCAGAACACCACCCCTTGGGACTGGAAATGAAGAGCTTATTGATGGGATGCAGGCCAGCCCGAGTCCAGTAGGAGGAGAGTCAACCCCATGATGACACAAATAGTCACTGCAGGTCCCGGTCATACAAAGACCTTGGCTAGTGCGTCGGCTCCAGCACTGCCGATGTAGCATTTGTTTGGGTGGAACGCCACGTCATGGATGGACTCATCAAACTTCTTCCGGTGGGCAGTGAACTCCTGGATGCAGGTCTTACTTTCCATGTTCCACAGACGGATGGAGCAGTCGTGACCTGTGAAGGTAAAGGGCCAGTAAGGACAAGGAACAGGTCCTCTTAGGAGCAGCTGACCACCTGAATATTTCACTAGCTGTGTTTCCATTACAAATTTGTGCAAAACTAGGTTGATATTCTTCTGATCGTGAAATGTTAATTTCTGCAGTTGTGGTATTTCCATTAAATAAGAAACACAACTAAAATAGCACATATTGGCTAACACCATTACTCTTGACAACAAGATGGTAGCGGAAAACTAAATGTAAAAAATTCTCCGTCTCCTCATGAATCCAAATATGTCACCCCATCTTTCTCCAACAACTTCAAAACCTCTTCTTCATTTTTTTTTACAAGGCACTTAATGTTTTTCCATTTAGTAAACTTGTTTTTGTAATTACAATTTGTGGTTTAATGGAAACCCAGCTACTGACTGCAGAAAACACAAAACTCTATAGATGAGCCGCCACAGAGCTGCATGTGCTGCTACATTAAAACCACAGCTGCTCTCGGGCTCACTGACAGAAATGAATTTCAGCATAAATAAAGTGGATGTGTCTGTAGTTCTTATCACATTTTTGATTTATGCTCAATTTTGAAGCGTGGTCTGTGCTATGTTATTCCATGCCACAACGAAAGAGGGACAATCACGAACTAGGTGTGGGTCTAGATAAGACCGAAGCGCTGAGGAAGTGGGGGCAAGTTTGTGCAACAAGGAGGGACATGAGGGCGAAAAAGAGAGAGGATCCAGATGGAAAAAAGGTCCTAGCGTTCTCGCGCACCTCGCTCTTCTAACTGACCCAACTTCACGAGTCGTTATCCACAATGGCGGTCATACAAACAAAACAAGCCGGTATGGTACCAAACAGGAAATACGGACAGTGTAGAGTGGATTTAGATTTGACCACTCAGAGGCTTCCTGTCTGCCGCACTGTCTGTGGTCACCTACAATTTGGAAGAGGTTCAGCAGAGTGTCTGCGGAAGGGGTGGGGACGTTTCTGCGTTCACTGTGACACAAGCAGATGACCCAGTTTTGAAGTATAAATCAGCCTTATCCAGTTGTAAACGTGATTTTATGCTGCTGCTCTTCCTTTCTTTAATCACACTTGTATTTCTAGAGATTTCAAAATGGCAATATCAAAAAGAAAATTAGAAAAACTAAAACTACTATGCAAGCTGTATAGGTGAACATTGACTCCTCCAGTTCATAGGTCAGTATTGATGGCCATTCCTATGAATATTTTAGTATCAGCATTTGATGGTAAATTAAGTTGTGGTTGATTGATAATCCAAATAGTTAATTTAATCATTAAAGTCGTAGGGAAGCGGCTGTTCCAACCGTTGCATTTCCAAATTCTCCTAAATGGTGCCCGACTTTACACGAATAAATAAAGTGAATGTGATTGGTCTATTATCAAGGGGGAGGGGTTGTTGTGGCGGAAGGTTCGCAAGCATTTTGGTTGTGGCCGGTGTAACGGAAGCATCTTGATAACCAGTTAGCAATATATTGGGACCAAGTAGCACTTAGCAACAACACTGTCAAGGAACACCAAGGACAGCGAAAACATGCAAGAGGAGGAGAGTTTTGTGTCGGCGGTCGTGGATAAGTCTCCTCCTTCATGCATTTTTTATTTAGAGGAGAAAAGCGGGGAGGAAGTTGTTGTGGAAGAGGACGCCAGGGCGGCAGAAGCTTGGTTTGGTGTAGAAGGCTTACAGCCGTACATGTTTGAGCCCTTGCCTCGCAACGCTGCCAGTTCTGTTAGCTCTACGCCTGCCGAAGACACAGACGTCCATCCCCGTGAACACTGGGACGGAACTCAATGGTGAAGTGAATTATTCTTATTTGTTATTTAAACTGTTGCGTATATTAGCTGCGACATATGAATCAAGATGCTATGACGCAAAAAATTTTATTGACAGATGACCGTTGATATATGATTGGCTGAATTTAGATGTACAAGCTGACGTATAACTAACTGGCCCGCATAAGATAACGAAAAAAAATCACACAGATTTTATGACAGGGTTTTTAAAAAAACATTTTCTAACTTTTGGGACAATACGGTCAGATAAGGAATGCATTTATATGCATTTTATATGTTAAGCCAGAAGGATTTGAAATTTAAATTGACTTCCATACGACTTTAAAGACAGGCAGCCACAAGTCTCAATTATCTACTTATCCATCGGCTGTAGATTCATTTTATTAGACTAATAAATGATCAATTATAATTTCCAATTATAATCAATAATATTCATAATAAAATAATAATAATTGTATGAAAAGACTCACTTCCTGACATCAGGTATAGGCCGTTTGGATCCACAGAAAGACAGGTGACTGAGTCCAGGTGGGCAACCATGGAGTGGATTAGTTTACCTACAGTAACGGATCCAGAGCCAGATTATACAGATATTCCGGGAGAAAGAGAAGAGATCCATCTGATAAACGTAAAGAGGTGATGCTCCTACCTGTGTTGTTGTCGAAGAATTGGATGTGCCGGTCCTCCTGTGCTGTGATGGTGATCGGCAGTGTCGGATGACTCAGGACTTTGTTGATCTTACATGGAGACTCTGTAAGGCGGACAAGGCTTGAGATTAATCAGCCTGCAAACCAATAGATCAGATCCAGAACCTCACATGGAAAAAAAAAAGGTATGCAGTATGCAGCTGGCAAACAGTGCTCTGCTTTTATCTGAGTCCTCTGATGGAGATGCACAGGAAAAAATCGACTGACACTACAGTTCCCCCTAGCCACCAGGTTGTATGGTTCCAACATAGGGAAGAAATTGTGCTGTTTAAATGTATTCCCACCTGTTTGGGACCAGGTAAAGACATGCATATGCTGCCTAAGTCAACTTGCCAAAAAAATAGTATTTATCATATAATCTTTGTCAATAACTCCATAGTGAACCCAGCCCCACCAAACAAGGTGTCCCCAAATCCATGTTGATAAGGACCTGTCATGATCGACCAATAGGTGTTTTTAAAAAATACAATGTCTTTTTAAAATAATTGATTGGTGAGTCTGAAAGTAAGAGGCAGCTGTTACCGTATGAAGCCGACTCAGTCAGCGGCTTTCCGCATCAGCAAGGTGTTTGAAATAAAGAGATGGAGCTAAGAAGCTGTAAGAAAATTCTATAGGAAATAGGGATTATATAGGGATGGAGTTACAGGATTTCTAGTTTTCCTGACATGTTGCTAAAATCTTGTCCCGTCTCTTAACTTGAGGCATTGCTGCTCTCTGACTGCAAGGAAAGTGGTTTACCTCTTTACCTTAATAAAACAGATATCCGCTCCATTATTTATATAATATGATGCAACACAGCAGGGAAGGATTGATGTCTAATTATATCAAATCTGACTCGTTCCTGCTTTATCTCAACCATGTTCACTGAGCTGCTGAAAGGAGCTTTGATGAAAGAGGGACATCAGAAGAATCTGTCTGAACCATCCTGGGCTTTACTTCCTAAACTCCTGGAACTTTTCACTGATGTCTAAAACCTGCTGATGGGGATCTCTGGTCACACCTGGAGGTCCAGCAGACTCAAACTTCAGGACCAGCTGCTGAGTCTCCATGTTGAAGAGTCCAATATGTCCCGTATTAAACGACGTCACCATATAGGCTGGGTCGCTGCTCACCAGGTCCGCTGAGGTTGGGACCCCCATGTCTGAAACAGAGCCACATAGAGGACAGAGACTCGTCAGCTCAACATATGGAGAAGGAACTAAAGCTTGCTCCAAGAGCAAAGAAAACAAAAAGAAAATGACCCATTTGATTTAATGGTTTAATCTAAATTCAGACTTAAAAACTGACTGAAAAGCCATGGTGGAAGATTCACGCAGCTATGCAAAAACCTCTGTGAAGTTCTAACCGCTGCAGCACACATGTAAAGCAGCTGAAAGATCAATATAACTGATCAGGTCTGATGGATTCTGATCCGGATTGTCTCTAACCTCCATCTTCATTAAAAATCGCCAAAGCGGGTGAGATGTCAGCGGCGTTCCAGAGTCGGACCGTCCCATCAGCCGAGCAGGAGAGAAGACGGTGGTGTGCTGAGCTATAGACAAGGCCCCAGACTGAGTCCGTATGGCCGCACAGCGCCCCGCGCAGTATGGAGGCCTCTGCAACAGGATTGAGAGAAAACCCTTTATCGATTGGAAGCAGCAGTTTTATGGTAATGACTGCCGACCTGCTGAGTCCTACCATAGGAGTCATAAGGGTCTATGTTCGGGTGGGGCGTGTTCCAGCTCTGGATGGTGCCGTCCACCCCCCCACTAAAACACTGGTCCCCGCTTGAGCTCATGGTGACGCTGAGAACAGCCCCACTGCACACAGAGACAGTTTCAGGTCAGATCACTTTGATAAACACTGAAGGTTCTGACCCGGTTCAAAGTTCTGATCAAGTATAAATCCCACCTGTGAGCTCTGAACGTATAGATGGGCTCCACATCTAACGCTGCACACCTGGAGGAACAAAACAGAAGCCTCATCAGAAGAGAAAACATCAGAAAACTGGGAGAGTCCTTAGATTCCCAACATCTTTAACTGGGTGGAGTTGATGGTATAATCATCTTCGTCTCACTTCATAATCATCATCATCATTATAAACAATTTATTGTAAAATAAAAGAAGCTCCATCATCTTAATCAGCTCTGAAACTGCCAGTAAACACTGTCACCCTCAGGCCACCCTGGATCAGCAAGCGCTGAAAGCAGTAAAAAAGCACCTGCTGCTTCATTTTTGATGATTATACAGATTAAGGTCAGAGGCGCGTCTTGAGCATCTTTGATGCTCCTGAAGCGTCTAGTAAAGTGTGTCCAGTTGTATCTGATGCTTCTGCTGCTCCTGTGTTCAAAAGCGGAGAGCGGCTTTGCTATATTTGCTGTTATAACTGGGTAAAAAGCAGTTTTGATATGTTTTTAAGTAAGAAAGTCCACCTCAAAACATCATCTGTGCAGTCAGTTCATCAAGATTACCATCCTGCCTTCAAATATTATTTTGCTGTCGGACCAGCACGAAACCACCATACACTGGCGGTGTGCTGTCACTGGAAATCCCCTTCAACAGCAGCCTCTGGCCAGGTCGCAACTTGGAGGTTTTTCGCTACTGTTCGTGGCGGCTAGAAGGAGATGTTGGCGTTTCATGTATGTAATCCAAACTGCAGGCACCAGAATAATAAAAGCGGACATAATTTGCCGGCAGGTTTCGACATTTTAAGTTAATTTAGGCGTTAATAAACTGCTTCAGGTAAGTGATCATAGCGATCTGCAACAACAACGCTGTGTCTGTCTCTCTTCCAGCTCCCAGATCAGCTTCTCAGATTGGTTGATGTGGCACGTCAAGCAGCAGAAGTTCAAATTTCCAACTCCAGCATCTGCTGCTTGTGAAGCGCGTCAAACACGTCAAATGCTCAGAAGCTAATGAGGTGCTGCCTCAGCTGCTTCAAGATGGGTTGCTCCTGCTCTTGAAACGCGCTGTACGACCTTAAGATACACCTCGATGCGCATCAACCTTTGACTTTGCATTAAAACCAGCTGCTTTTGCTGCTTCAGCAGCGTGCAGTCGGAACGTAGCATTACTGTTCATCTTTTTGATTCACCCAAAAAATGTGTAATAAACAATCTGTAAAATATAATTTATCAAGTTTTTGGTGTAAATATTTATTCTTTAACTGCATTTAAATAATGTTTGCATCCTCCAACATCTGTTCTGCTCAATCTATAAAAAGATAATTGAATTGAAGTTGATGCTGATAATGAAGTCCTTTATTCTGAATTCAGATTGAGTTTAGGGAAGCTTTTGAATTTAGATGCCTTTTTAGTCCTTAGAAACAAAATCAGAATGTGACCTAAAAGGAAACTAAATCTTAGCATGAGACAGTGAAATCCTCATCAGAGCAGCTTTGACTGGATTATTCCTGCTATAATCTCTCACTTTTTGGCTGGTGCCGTCTTCTGGAGGTTCCACAATTTCAGGGTGTGATCCTCAGATGCTGTGACCAAGACGGGCTCCACAGGATGGAAGGCCAGACTCCGGACCGAGTCAAAGTGGCTCCGTAAGGTGAACTTGGGGTTCCAGGTTTTCCTCAGAGCATCCGTGTTGTTAGTGATCTGTTTAGAGAAAGCAGGGATTAACTGATGATATTCTAAGGCTGAAGAAGGTTTAGGTGATTTCTACCCACAAAAGGACCTCATCATATAAATATTTGCATGTTTGGCTTATCAAATATGCTTTTTTAACTAGACTCCCCACACCAAGCCAATGCCAATTTATTTACTTATAATTATATTTATCAATCTAAACTCAACAGCTCGGTGGCTCACATACACAATAAACATTTAAAGACAAAATCTGATAGTTTTACACAAGTGGAAACAAGTTGGATCTATAAAGGGAGTCATTCTTATTTTGTTGCCTCTTCTTCATCTTTTCAATCTAAGGTTTCTGCTAAAAGGACTATTGACATGAAATCAGGAGTCAGGGTGGAAAATTCATAAAGATTTTCTCAGATCTGGTTGTTTTACTCACATCATATCCAAGACTTTCTGCCTCATTGGCAACTGTCAGTCCGGCCAGTTCTCCCAGTCCAAGCTCGTTGGAGACGGCTTCGTCCACTCTTCCCAGAATGAAGGACTTCCCGGTGGACGGCAGGAACGTCATTGGTTCTACAAGGAGGGAGCATGAAAGGAGGATTCGGTACGGGAGCATTTGGCTGCAGGTGCAGCTGAATGACGGTCCAGGAGGAGGAGGGGCTTACCGTCTTCAGGCCGACCAACCTCGGGCTCATTCAGTCTGGGAACAGTGGGCCGCGAGGGAGCTGACATGGCCGGCTGCATGGGGGGGAGCTCCTCGGTGTCCCGCAGGTTAGCCAGCATGTCCTGGAGTTTGGAGCGGTTCGGTCCTAGGGGATAAAGATGACAAGAGGCATAGGAAGATATAGGAAGTGGTTTAAGTTTGCAAACCTTCGGTTATATCAATGGAGAGAAAAAAAGCAGAATCGGTTATAGATAAAATGTTCCAGGTGCAGAATCCTTTAACACAATCAGTGTAACTAAGAGGAAAGACTTCTACATTCAAAAGGTAGATCATGCCATCCAGGAAAACATCCAGAGATGGATAAATTTAGCCTTAGTGCTTCCTGATGGTTTAAGAAGAATCCATTGCCGAGGTAACAAAAAGGTGGAAAAGACCTGAATGTTGGTCCTATTTCCACCAGGTAACAAAATAAAACATCAGATGCACACTGAAAGATCTAAACACAGCCCCACAGACCTGTTGCATCTTTGATATTAAAACACTGAAATAAATCCAAACACAAATCAACTGCAGTGATGTTTTCTAGTTTTAGGGGGCACTGTTCGGGAACAGAAAGGGGGGAAAATTAAAAATACAAAAAAATGGGATTATTACATTGATACATTGCCTGAGTTTTCTCTAGTATAACAGACTCAGCAGGGTGGATGACCCAGAAAAAAACTAATAGAAAGAATGAAATCCAGATCAGATGCAGGACTTACTCTTAACTCCTTTCTTCCCCTTTCTCTCCTTTTTGTATTGCTCCTTCAGTTGGGCAATCAGGCCTTGGTCCACGTCCCAGACCGGTTCTCCAGGAGCAGATGGATCCTCCTTCTCTATGGGACAAGGAGGACATGTTTGGTAAAGGACAGATGTAACAACAAACCATAAACATCAAACAAGGTTAAATAAAACAGGATGAAGTATTTACAGTTTTGAGCCTCTAATAAATAAAGAACTAAATATGACACAGTTCAGAGGCAAAGAAAAAAATAAAGAAAAAATCATAATATAAAGAAAACTATATAGAAAAATATGATGAAAGAACTGTTGAGACTGTTGCTGTTCCTCATATGAGCTGCAGGGGTAGTAGTTGTGAAGGATTTCAGATGTTTCTCCAGGTGAAAACTTAAAAGATTTCCTTGCAGCTAATCTGGGAATAAACTGGACCGGTTCTGATCGATGGCTCATATTGAACATTCAACTAAGAGTAGAAAGAGGTTGGTACCAGGACAGATCATGGAGCTGACCTGGGTTCTGGATTAGTGTTTCAGACAGTAGCAAAAGGAGCTGGATTTGACCCGTTTCTGTGTTCTGTGCTGGTTTTATGATGCAAAGCAGAAACTGTAGCTGAATGCGCCACTGAGTCAGCTCGGATCTCCAACTATGTGGACTGTGAAGTGTTGAATCATGAGCTGCGTGGGAGAGCTCTCCATCATGTGTTGCTAAGTAACTGAAGAAAAGGAGAAATGGTTCTGTTATGGTACAGGAACACGCAGGTCACCGACTGATGAGATGGTTCTGGAGGAAATTGGTTTAACTGCAGCTTCCAGGATCCGTGCTCCTGTTTTCTCTAAAGTTTTCTGTTTGTCCTGCAGTTCTCCTCCCCCTGAATCCAGTCACCTCTCCATCATCTCAAATCTTTCCCCACCATCCGACCCATCTCACCCCACTCCCCGCTGTCCTCCCTGCTCCTCGGCTCGGACACATCCGGCTCATCCGGACTCGCCAGGAAGTCGAATCCCTTCAGGGCCTCCTCGGTGTCTGGGTCATCGCTGAGGTCGGACGCTGTGGAAGATGGCGTGGATGACTGTTTCTTTCTCACCATCTGCCACAGAAACCAGTTTGGGTCTCAGCACAGATACACAAACGCAGGGCCATTGTGGGGAACGAGGTCAGACTTACGGTAGCCAGGTCGAGGATGGTTCTATCCTTGGACTCGCTCTCCTCCTCCTCGTCTTCATCGCTGAACTCCGCCGCGGCGCTTTCGATGAACCTGAAGGCCTCCAAAACGGCTGCCGAGTCGGACATGTCGGGTTTACTGGGAGGACAGTGTGTCTGCTTAGTTCTGTGTTTTTTTTTTTTTTAAATAAAGAACCCACTCAGTACTCAGAGGAACGCTTCTTACCTGACCATGCCGCTGTCCTTCAGGGAGGAGGACTCTGTTCCGTTCACCATAGGTTCAGCTCTCCTCTCTGAGGGTTTGTCTCTGGATTCTCCGGTCAAACCGAGCAGCGCCTTTACCCTGTGGGACTTGACATCCAGGATGGTGTCGGTATATCCAACCTCCTGAAGGTACCTGAGTCAACAAACGGGTCAGGTGTTAATCTGGACTGGGGAATAATGCAGAACACGTTCAGTTTTATGCATTTTCTAATCTGTGTTTAGAACAGGAGCTACTTTTATGGAGCCAAATGGGAAATTTCAGACCTAAAAGGAGCCAGACTGTTCAAAACTCTGCAAGTTAAGAGTTCAAGACTAAAATTAAAGCTGTATTTGATTAAAACAGTTATATGAGTTTTCTGTCTGAGTTAGCAGAGTTTTGGACAACTGAAGACAAGGAAGCCCCTTTTTATTAAAACGAGTCAACAGGACGTTACAATAAACCACTAATGAAGAAACAAAAGCATCTAATATCATCTAAAGTTCACTGCGGGAAACCTATGTTTGAAGATATTCTTTAAATGAGAAAAAAATCCTCTTTTTAAATTTAGTTTTAAACAATGCTTTAAGAAAAGACTTGATGCCTACATTTCTTCAGTGAGACTTGTAAATCGCCCATTCTTTGTTTAATTTCAGAACGTCCACTGCAGTGATCAAGGTTTCACAGATTTTTCCTTCTGGCTTTAGATAAAATGAGTTTTGCTTAATCACTGCCTTAAGTTTGTCAAGCATCTAAACAAAGACAGTCTGTGAAATTCAACAGACTTAAAGGAAGAGTACAGCTAAGCCTTGTTGACAAAAAGACAACAAGAGACATTGTTAAACTCAGACATGATCTGACCTAAAGGAAGAATGTAAAGCAAAGACAGGATAGTTCCCAGCACAGAAAACTCCACATCATGGTTTAGTAGAGTCAGACATGGAAGGACAACACACATCATTTGCTTCAGCAGTCAGCGGTGATCATGTATGATAATAGATTCATATATTTTCTTAAACCTAAGGAAAGAATATTTCAAAAACACCTAAACCTGATCTAAAGAAGCAGTTTTTAATCTTCCAGAAGATCCATCATTAGTTAAAAAAAACTAAATCTGAAGTTCTGCTCTACTCCTGATCCATGCTCTCCTGCTAAGAGCTAAAGATTATTCTTATCTTCTATTATTCCTTTGGCATTAATCGGGAGTCGGAGTATGAACATTTATGACAGAAAGTAGTTGCTTTGATCGTAAAATCAATCTCTTCTTCCATCCCCATTTATAGGAGGTCAGACTACGATGCTAACACTTTCAGGAAGGGAATCCTGTCTAAGGAATAATGTCTGGTTCTTCCCAAACCTCTTAAAACATAAATAGATCCTCCAAAGACTTCTGGTTCTTTCCCAAAATGTTGGGACAAAATAATCTAAAATGATCAGGTGAACCTCCTCAGCTGATGAGATTCGATGTTGAGCAGCAGTAGCTCTACTTCAAGCTCTTCATGCATCATGGAGGAGTTCTAAATAAAATTGTAGTTCACAAACTTCATTTTTCCCCTTTTTTCACTTCAGGGTCTCTTATTGTTTACTTCAGTGGGATTTCTAGGAAGCATGATAAGTAGCTATGTGGGAATGCTGAACAGTTTTCTGCAGCTGCAGCAGGAGAACCAGGGGCAGCGTGTTCTTTGCACTCGGATCCATGAAACCCTAGTATGTTTTCAGAACCGTTTGGTAAAATTGAGCAACTGTTTAATTCAGGACAAATTAACCTTTTTATCCAAAAACAAGAGGCTGATTTTGACTAAATAAAAATGTCAGAAATGTGAAATATTCCAGCTAAGCATTGAAACAGAACCCATAACCATTTTACCTGATCACCACAGAATTCCTCCACTCCACGTTCAAGCACGAGAAGATTCAGCGGGAACAGGATCCGATCTGTTAATGTACACCCAGCCTAGAGACCACAGAACTGGACCCGGCTGACGGGGCAGCAGTGTTCATCACTGGAAGGACCGAGGTTTTCCTGAACAGCATCCACTGTTTATGTTTCCCTCCTCCCTCCGTACCAGCTGCACCGATCGCAGGAGGCCTCCGCACAATCCTCCATTCAACATTCCCACAAACACTCTAAGGACAAGACAACGTCTGAGCTGCTGCCCACTCCCAGTAGGAGGACCTGGATGAGCCCTGGAGGGCTGCTGGAGGACCTTCCTCCCCACTGTGTGTCAGTCTCAATAAAGACAGTGAACTCAGCACCGTAACTGAAATATCCCACATTTATTAAGGACAGTGAACTCCACTCTAGACATTTAATCCTAAGATCTGGGTTGAATCCTATGCCCCCCATTGGAAACACTTTATGAACCCATTAGGATGAAAAAGAAAACCCCAAACTGGTCCCAGTGGACTGGTGCTGTTAGTTTCCCATTATAAGAGTGTTAATCCATAGAAAGAAGATTTGCTGTGTTTACACACTCACACAAAAATGTGTGGACATGCATTTTTGTTGCCTTGTGGGGACAGTGTAAGGCTGTTTCCCTGCATTATGCTACATTGTGAGGAATTACAGGTGACCAGTCGACTGGGTTCCTGGGATGGAGGGTTAGTTTTAGGCCTGTAGCGTGAATAGAGTTTAGGTCTAGGATTAGGAATGTATTGATGAAGGTTAGTTAGGGTGAGGATCTGGGTTAGGCCATAGAAGACATTAGAAGTTAATGTTAAGTCCTTATAAGGATACAGAAACATGATTGTGTGTGAGTGAGCTTACTGTTGGAGCAGCTGCCGTCCCTGTTTCCAGCTGAGCTGATGGCTGCTGTTCGGAGGACTTTCACTCTCATTCCCTTCATCTGAGTAAGAACAACAATGAGAAACGCTCTGAAGACAAATGGATGACCATTTGTCCGTCCATCCATCCATCCGTCTTTCCGTCCTTCTGCCCATCATCCGTCCGTCCGTCCGTCCGTCCATCCGTCCATCCATCCATCCATCCATCCATCCGTCCGTCCATCCGTCCATCCGTCCATCCATCCATCCATCCATCCATCCATCCATCCATCCATCCATCCATCCATCCATCCATCCATCCCAATATTTAACAAATTTGAGGTTTAAAGCATTTTAATCCTCACCTGAATCATAACTTGGTACTTTGATTTCTCCTTGGTTCAGTTCTGTCCCATATTTCAGCTTGTGGAATTTGGCTCTGAGGGCAAACAATAAACAAGTAATTAAAAGAATTTGAACACCTAAAAGCAAAAGTGCATCATGAAGTCCGTGATAACTGAAAATAGCATTCCAGGTATTTTCCATCCAGTGTTCATTAGAAACATGTCATAACTAGGAACTGCACTGGTTCACATGTTTGACTGTTAAATCAAAGACATAGGGGTACATTTTCAGGCTCTTCAAGAGATTTTCAATCCAACTAAAAGTCATTAAAGAAATAGATTAATACATCTGCACCTATGGATTGGGTCCATTTTCAGCGATACTCTATCTAAAATTTTCTTCAATATAGAGAGCGATACAGAAAAATATTACCTGATTAGTGTATCTCTATTTATACCTGAAGGCTAGGAAATTGAATAAAGTCCCATTTGCCATCAAGTCTAAAGTAAACAGGGCTGCAACTAACAATTATTTAGCAAATCTGTCTGTTGATTAATCAAAAAATAATCATATAGCTAAAGGTTCCTTAAAGAAGATTTTTAATTAAATTAAACCAGATGAAACTAAAAGTTTTCCACTTGAGGAGTTCTGGATAAAGCATATCGACAGAACAAAACTTTTTTTCTTTTTTTTTTTTTTTATCTACCGTATTTTCACGACCATAAGGCGCACCGGACTAAAAGGCGCACTCTCAGTTATGTGTCCCATTTCTGTATTTAACACACACATAAGGCGCACCGGACTATAGGGCGCGTTTTTTATATACAGGTACATGTCCTCTACTACCTTTAAATACCTCTACTGCGTATTTAAAAATACAGCGGGTGCAAAACTGAGTATGACTGTGCTTTATTCATGTATTTATTACAAAGTATTAATCAAACCTGGGAGCTGGCCGTGAGACAGACACATCGCAGATGACACAGCGCTGTGGTCACTCCTAAATTAACTTAAAATCCTGAAACCTGCTGACGGAATATGTTCGCTTTTATTGCCGGTATCCTGGTGCCTGCAGCTAAAATTATTTAGATGAAAAACACCTGCCAGCAGCCGCGGTGAACCCCAGGCTGCCCAGCCTACAGGCTGCTGATGAAGAGATTTCTGCTGTCAGCGCACCGCTGGTATGTGGGGGTCTGAGCGCCTCCGACAGAAATAGATAATCTGGATGAACTGACTGCAATTATTAAGTTTTCAGGTGGACTTTCTCACTTAAAAACATATTAAAACTACTTTATTCCCACTGATCACAGCAAATATAGCTGCAAGATTTAGATTATTTAGATGAAAAAACACCTGCCAGCAGCCGCGGTGAAGAGGAGGAGACCCGCCCAGAGGCTGCTGTTGAATTAAGTTTTCAGGGAGAAAAATACAGCGGGAGCAAAACTGAGTATGATTGTGCTTTATTCATGTATTTCTTACAAAGTATTAATCAAACCCATCAAAGTCATCATCCTCTGTTTCTGAATAAAACAGCTGCGCTAAATCAGACATGCCAGTTTCCCCTTCTTCGCTGTCAGTCACTTTCCGTGCAGCGCAGCTCCTCAGAAATAATGCCGGCTTTTGCGAAAGCTTGAACAACAGAGCCAGCAGACACTTTAGTCCAAGCATCTACAATCCATCCGCAAACTGTGGCGTAATCTGCCCGGCGCTGCCTTCTTATCCTGAAACTGTGGTCTCCGTCGGTCATCCATCGCTCCCACGCCGCTCGCAGCCTTACTTCGAACGGCTGCTTCACACCGATGTCGAGCGGTTGAAGCTCCTTTGTCAGACCCCCGAGATAACGGCGAGCACAGCGTTCATTTGATTCACCTTTTTTTCACATCGGCTGTGAGATGGGCACGCAGCGATGGTGATGCGTGGAAAAAACCACCTAGTCTTCTCACATACACCTGCCTCAGCCACGCATCCATCCAGCCTTTTCCATTTGCGTTAATATCATATGTCATCAGAGCGCTGTGTCTGTCTCGCTGGCAGCTCCCAGATCAGCTTCTCTGATTGGTTGATGCGGCGCGTCCAGCAGCAAAACTTCAATTTTTCCATCTCGAGCAGCAGAAGCGCGTTGGCGGCGCTTCAGATGCTTAAACGCTCCCGACGTGCTGCACCAAAACGCGCTGCGGGACCTTTTGCTGCACCTATATGCGCGTCAACCATTGACTTTGCATGTAAACACGCTGCTTCTGCTGCACCTGCTGGGTCCGGTTCACACCGATGTCGAGCAGCGTTAATTTGTTTCCCCATGTTTTTCACATCAGCTGTGAGATGGGCACGCATGGAGTTACATATTAACAGCGATGGTGAGGGGTGGAAAAAAAACACCTGGCCTCCTTACATTCAGCCACTCTTTCATCATCTCCTCAATGAGGTGGTCTCAAAAGTCGCAGTTACAACACACATAAGGCGCACCGCACCATAAGGCGCACTGCACATTTTGAGGGAAAAAAAAGACGTTTAAGTGCGCCTTATAGTCGTGAAAATACGGTAAATGCAAATGTTTATAGATGTCAGCTTAAGGCATGTTTTAGTCTCTATGCCCCAGTTGACGATTAATCGACTACTAAATTATTTGACATGATTATTCTGATTAATTACTTCAGCCCTAAATGTCACACATTTAGAATAATCTTTGAACATTTAGTTTAAAATATAGATAGAAAACTATTCTAAACTACTAATAAAGCAAAATATTTCCAGTTATAAAAATAAATATACCTTTACGTTAACATTTGTTAATGATGATTTGTTAAAAAAACAAAACAAACAAAAGCAAGGTGCTTTTCTTTTGCAGCTTGGGCGTGTGTTACTGTATTTTGTAAAGATGTCAGCTTGGTAAAGTTATTTTATATGAAGTCTCAGGAGACTTTACATTTAAAAATTAATTTGAAAAAAATATAAAATTAATTCAGTTTTATTTCAGAAACACTCCAAGTTAGTAAAAAGTATAAAGTTGAGTCTAAGTCTAGTTTTAAGTCTAAGCTCCTCCTTGACCTTATTTCATTTCTGAAAAAGCCCAGGTTAAGGAGTATGGAGCTTTTAACCAAGGAGCAGAAAAAAGGGTTAAACTTAAAATGGATTACCGTACATTAATTGGTTATGCTAAATTAACCTATCTTTTCAGGTCTGATTACTTTAAATAGATCAACTTTTACAGGTAACATTTCAAACAGGTCATCAGGTGTAAATCTGTGCTCACTTGATTAGCAAACATTTTCTCAAGTATTTTACAAAACATTTTTTTCTTTGAGTAAACCTAAATTAAGTACAGATTGTCCATGAAACTCAGGTCAAGTCAGGACTGAGGTCTTTTTTTTTAGTGACTTTGGTGAAATCTAGTGATGACAATAACTTAGTCTTAAAATGCATCTTAAATCAATCTGTAGCAAAACTACAGATTGATTGACTGCTTTGCAGTGAAATAAGTGAGCTGGGATCACCTGGAAGCTTCTCATCTGTGACTAAAACCATTATTGCCTCTGCACGCTGCTTAATAGAGCTGTTGCAGGGTTTTACACAAATTTCATATTTCTTTAGTGTTTATTATCATCCCTCAGCTCACCTTTCCTGTTTCAGGGCATACTCCAGCATCTTGATCCGCCTCACTAGGTCCTTCTTCAGGTTCTCCTGTCCTCGCCGTTCCCCCTGTAGAAAGGCGATTTGGGCCTGCAAAGCACAGAGATGTATGCAGATGATGTATTTAGAAAACACAATCTCTAAAACCTCTAAAGCTACTTGGACAAACATGTTTAAATAAGTCTATATTTGCAGTTTTAACTAATTCCAAGCATTTTAGGTTTAACCATAAAGATCCTGATCTCTGCTGACAGACCACAGCCTAATTTCAGAAGCTTAGGAGGTTTCCAGGGCGCTGGGTGGAGAGGTCGCCGACATTAAAGCCGGCTGAGAAACTAGATCAGCTGAATGATTGCTGACCTGTTCACAAGCCTGGCCTCTTTCAACTGACATGTTTCACCACCTGAGGCCTAAGCAGCAGTGTGGGAAAAGACGACACATGACTGACCAAATCTGAATTCATGATGCGATCAACTCTGCAGAGGTTGGAGCTTGTACAGCAGGAGGATGGAAAACAGTCCAACAGGTTGGAAACAGGATATTTCTCCATTTGAGATATTTGACGGACAATGAGTCAGATTTAAAGTTTGTAGAGGGTTTAGAAGCTGTCAAAAATCCATTAATGGAGCAGGCTGTTTCCAGCTGGTCAATAATAACACCTCAGAACGTCCTGCAGCTTTACGGTGCTCTCCTCCTTTTGCTGACACACATCTGTGAGAACAGGCGGGGTGAAAGCAGGTCAGCAGTTATATTTAAAACAGGAGATCATGCCCAACACATCCAGCTGGCAGCAGACAAGCAGGGCTGGAGTTAGCAGCTTCTACCATCATCAGGAACATGGACAGTGTTTTAGGCCTGATTATGGTCCAATTCTTACAGATAATCTTTGATCCACCATCTAGCAATCAACATACATCTGGTTCCACATTTAGTTATGTGAGAGGCTTATTCCAAATGTTTTTTTTAAATTTCTGCTTGAATTTTGTTGATGCAGTAATGGTGCGTCCATGGGAAATCATCGGGAGCATCAGAGCATCTGGGTGACGGCATCAAGAAGGGTCAAGAGGTCCAGTTGCACAATTTGAGTGTGAACAGCAAATCTTGCAGCCTTCTCAGCATCGGGAGCAGCGTGTTTTTAGCGTTCTAGCTTCCGAAGTGGCGGATGTTGGAGTTGGGAAATCTGAACTGTTGCAGCTGGACGCCGACCAATCAGAGAACCTAGAACGGCCTGGGAGACCGACATTACCTGCAAGCCATCATCTCTCATTTTGCTAACCTGTCAGCATAAAACTGAAGAAATAATATATATAAAGGAGTTTAACCCTGCTGGTTTGCCTGAAAAGCCAAGAGAATGTCTTTTTTTATGTTAAAGGAAAAGTGAGCGCTCTGATTATTATTACTCCACTTAGATATTTTCTTACGAAACTGTGGAGAAACACTTAAATGCCTACAATGACTAAACATGTCAAAAACTAACAGTGAAAAATACTTTTAAGACATATTTGTTACTTGCAATTTTTATCACAACACTAAAAAAAAATTCACTTTTAGCCAATACTAATGGCAGTTTGGCCGACTTCAGTGAGCTTTCACTGGGGACTCCCAGCACTGCCCCACACCATGGTGATGGTTCAGTTACCTAAATACCTAAAGCATGCAGGACCCACTGTCCTGCATGCTTTAGGTATTTCCCTTCCTCTACACACCTGACTTAAAGAAATGGGCGATTAGCATGCCCCTGCAGCCTGTGGTGGTTGCTGAGGAAGGAGTGCAATCATCTGATGCAGGTGTGCTAGAGCAGAGACAGATTTAAAACTTGCAGGACAGTGGGTCCCAACCAATGAGTCTGAAAACCACTGCTCTAGATCACAAGAAGAAGAAAAGAGCAGCTCAACGCCCACAGTGATGATCATCAATAGGACTGAACGTCCACATCGTCTGACTTTAAAATGCACAAGTGTCCAAGTTGAGCGGTTAGACGCATTTTTCTGCTCAAAATGTGTTTGGGGTGAAATCACCACAAGGGTTTTTGTGATGTGGACAACAAAATGAAAAAGAAATCATTGAGACCCAGCAACTGAAACATGACAAAAATAAAAAATTCTAAACCATATGTAGACTATATGCATATTGATTAGTTCTTTTGACTTCCTCATTGCACTGCTGCAAACTCGTCCACAAATTGGACATGGAAAGTTTTTGGGGGTTTGTCCAGATACATTTCTTTGTGGAATGAAAACAAATTAATAGGTTTTATAATAATAGATGTACTTCTCATCCAGTTATTTGTTCTTTTAAGAACTTGTGGGTCTTTTTGGGAGTAACCTGCAAAATCTACTGCTGAAGTGGATCATTCAGTTGCAGAGCTCAGATCTAATTTATTCTCCTGCAGATGAAAAGTTGGGTTGCTGGAGATGCCTGAATTTCTTCACTCTGTTACTAGAGGGTCTGAGGGTCCATGCGGAACATGCTCACCACCACCAGCAGCTGGTATTTCTGGTGGGTGTGGATTTATTTGGTTTGCCAGAAGGTCCTGCCACAGCAGCAAGGTGTGGAATCATTCTACAAGCTCTAAAAAAAAAAAACAACAACGAATCACCTGAGCACCTGTAAGGCTAAGCATCACATTAAAAAGGTGAGACTGCACACTCACAGATGCTCTGTTTCCAGGGAAACGTCCACTCTGGTTGTATTAATGGGGACTTTATACATTTTAAATTTTATATGTATTTTTGTCTCTTCTCTATAGTCATCAGTTTCGGCTGTTGTTGAACTGGATCTGTGTCTAAAGCTGCATTAGAACCAATAAATGTTGTCTTCCAGAAAGGGTCAACTTCCCACACATCAAACCTTTAAACTGACTCAGACCCAGTGGCTCTCTTCCTCCCAGACTCCCTAAGGCCAGAGGATCCATCTCTGTAGTGAAGCTCTAGAGGGAACCTTTCACTATGCAGAAACATTTGATAAAATGACAGTATTAATCAGCAGCAGATAACATGCTGATTCTGCTTTAATGTTCTGCAGGTTATTTGTACCCTCCTTTTAAATTGGGGGTGCCAGATTCTAAATTCTCCTTAGGTGTGGGCGTGTGCGTGAATAGTTGTTTTCCTATTTGTGTTGTCCTGCGATGGACTGGTGACCTGTCCAGGGTGGACCCCGCCTCTCACCCACTGACAGCTGGAGTAAGGCACCAGCATCCATCACGGCCCCAGCAGAGATAAGCGTGATGGAAAATGAACAGATTGATAAACATTGTAATTTCTGTTCTTTCTTTTTGGTTTATGTCTCACAGTGAAAATGCATCCAAGATGGAAATGTCAGACCATTCCATGACTTGTAAGCAGGATGAATTGCAAAATTGCATCCTGTCAGTGCTCAGGGGCCTGAAAAACAAAATACATTTGTTTTTTTTTGTTTTTTTAACATAATTTATCAAAACAAGAAGAAACTAATTTATTTTAGTGGTTTCTGTTTTTATTCACTATAAAATGTATTCAGTTTATAACTGACTCATATCCAGTTATACGGAACCCCCCCCCTCCATAACCCAATTACACATCCAGACTGCAGAAAACCACCAAATTATTTTGGGACGACTGGGAATTTCCCGCTGCTTAAATCTGGAGCAGTGAAGGGATTATTGTTCCCAGCGTTGAAGGGACACTTTTAGGGGGGTTGTGCAAATATTCGTCACAAAGGAATTACCAGCAAAAGGCTGTGAGCATTCATGCAAACACATCTAGTCCCTGGGTAGGGATGAACTGAAGCGCTGACGTTACCTCACTGCTTTAACCTGAATAATTCTTCTTTACTATAATTTTCCTTCATTCCTATAACCGGCCCCAACTACAGCTGCCCACACTGCCAGCATCACTCTGACGCCAACCTCCTCTTCTCCTCTGAAAGGAGAAGGTAGGGGAGGAGGGGGAGGATAAGAATAGAAGCGTGACGAAATAACTTACTTTCTCTCCTTAGGGGTTGCTTAGGAGAATCATGCTGCTCTGAAGCTGAAGATTTGAATTAAAACACCCTAATGCATGATGAGGACGAGGAGGAGGATCCTCACAATAGATGCAGTCTAGAATGAAACCTTTATCACAGATGTACTTTGTTATAACATGACCGAGGTATTCTCTGGTTCGTGGCCCAGTGTTTATGTTATGACTCCTTGAAGAAATTAAGAATTACCATTTTTAGAACATCAGAATCCAAATAAGTATTGGCATTAAACAAACTATATAAGCCCTCTACACTAAACTGGTCAACTGTATGACCCAACCCTGTGCAGATTTTAAGCTGTTTGATACAAAAAAATCTGAGGTGTTGCATGCCTTTGCATGGCTTCTAACTGTATGTTTAAGGCAGGTCTTCTGCAGCTCCAGCCAACTGTACATAAACTCTGACTTGCTTCCCTGCCCCACACAATAACCTAGGGATAACAGTGCTATTTTTAAGATTCTAGTTATAGCAACAGACAAAGAAAAAATATAATGTGATATGTTTGCCATTGTTCAAGTTTCCAATTTTGTGTTGTAAAGGTGTGTTCACACAGAGCGTAAAAAACGCTTACCAGCATCAATCTGAAAGATGCTGAGACAAACCCTGCTGCCTGCATCATTGAACCACTCCGCTTCATTTGGAGAGCACCAGGTATGTCAAAAAAGAGTTGTGGAACCCACCAGGTTCACCTTTACGGTGCATTTTAGCATAAAAAGTACACTGGACTGTTATCAGGGGTGTTTACATCCCATCCAGGAGAGCAAACATGTTTGAGATGTTCTCCTGGTTAAACACACCTGAATAAAAAAAAACGTATTCAAACCCGGGCATCTGCAGAAGTTTAGGACCAACTGAAGAGCCAATTCAATTGTCATTTAAGCTTTTTTGCAGAAGGGATACATGGAAACAAGCAGAAGACTTGTTCTTAAGGATTCTAAATATCTTAAATATCCTAAATCAGGGTTTCCACATTTTTTTTATGATCTTATAAGGTCTTGTTATGTTCTAAATGTTAGAAAATATTCAAATAAAATTTCATTTCAACATTCTTTGTCCAGTTTCTCGTGACTAGAACTTATTTCTGTGCATCA